ATAATGAATACTTTTTATCTGTGTAGGTATTTCTTCATTTATATTTTGTTCATCTTTGTCTTTATCTGAGTATTTATTGCATACGTATTCTGTACCAGACATGATAAAAGTCAGTGGGGATAAGGTGGTGAGTAAAACAGACATGGTCCCTATCCCTCTGCCCTCACACTCATCAGTTAGGCCTAGGATGGATATAAGTGCGTTTTGTTCATACCACTGGTGGCTCATCACATTGGTTAAGAATTTGTATCTGTCTTTCCCAGCTAAGCTGTCAGCTCCCCAAAACAAGCACTGTCTTACATACAGTTGCGCAACCTGACTTATGAGGAGGATCTCAGTTAAATGGGCAAGTGCCCTGATTTTGTAGAAACGGTGCACCCATTCCTTAATTTTATCTTAGATTTTGCTCTCTGCCTACTGACTATGATGTGTTCATACCTTTGTTCTTATCCTCATTCCTTACTTGTAATGGTATATGTGATGTTCTTTACCCTGTGTAGAATGCCATTTCCTAAATTTTTTGTCTCAACCAGTGCTTGCTTTTCCAACTACTGTATCTTTTTTGTCCATGATAAATGTCTCCTTTTCCACTACTGTACCTGTAATTCCAGTGCAGCTGTTTCTGAGAACAAGAAATAATAATAAAGATGATGTTCAATTTTATCCAGATTCTGAGTACTTGCTGATTTTATTCCTGCCACCTAGTGGCCAGATCAGGATTACAACATGATGTAAGTAGGTCTTGGCTTTTACTGTCTGTAGCCAGTATTTAAAAATGTGTTGATATTACCTGAGTAAACTCAGTATTGTTCTCCTGTCTTGGCTATTTTTAAGGATCTGCATGTTGGAATGTTAGGACTAAAGTCAGAAGCCATTCCTGCTCATCATTTTTGTTAATCATATATTTTTTGCCCTAAATGCTTACACAAAAGTTTCAGATTTTAGTTTTACATTTATAGAGCAGTGTATTTATTGGCATAGTGGTAGTTCGTTGGAAGAAATCGTAGTATATATAAAAGATAATATTATTGGCAATAATGACTAATAAAGATTACTAAATCTCACTAAAGTAAAGTAGTGTTAACAGTATTCCTGAGATCTTATTCATTCGAAAGCAGCACCAGTTTCCAAAGAGGCTTTGGCAGAGCATGTTAACTTATTACAGAAGACAGTAAACCATAGGCATTTTTACTATTGGGAAATGGGGTCATTTTTTTCATTAGTTTGGGAGCCAGAGAATCTTCTCTTCAACACATTTATTCTGTCTTTTCCTTAAGTAGCTGTAGTTTACATTTTTCTTTTCAGTATGTTTTATAATCACAGTTAATGCCACTTTCACTTGAAAATAAGCAAACTACTGAGCTACACTGACTTATTTTTTCTTTAAAGACTGTATACATCAGAATATTTTCTATTTTGATTTTCAAAAAAGTATGTTTTCTATAAGAGTGCAATTCAATTGAAAAACATTTGTTGAAAACCTGCCTATCTTGCTAATGACTTGGTTCAAGTTAATATTTGCTGGTGTGTATTCTATAGTGTTCAGTTTAAGCTTTTTTTTTATTCAGTTTGGAGGGAGTTAATACTAGTATGCCTCTTTGTAGGTAGAAATCATCTAATCATCTTCTTGTGTTTTCCTTTTTTCTGATAGAACACTTTAGCTTTGCCTTTTGTTTCTAGACTCTTCAAATTGAACATATGCTGGCATTTTAAATTAAGACAGTCTCAACCAATATCTGAATGTCCATAGCCTTTCTCATGTCTTACAAGCCCGATTCGGTTCATCTGTTCTTTCTATGGATTTTTAGGTTATTTTTCTGTTTTTGGCAGTGTTTTTAACCTTGCACCAAGGTATTGAAGCCAAAACATTTGGTTTTCCGTTTTTTTCTTTACTCTTAACAACATAATGCCCTAAAGCACACAACACCTCTGTTCTAAACCCTGCTCCATGGGATTGAGAAGTCCATAGATTTTTTTTTTTTTCTTCACCAAGTTAGAGAATAAGATACTGGAGGTGAGTGTTTTTTTTAAAAAAACATCATTGTTGTGTAGTATCCCTCTCTGATTATTAGACCTGGAAATATAATCACATTTAACTGTTTTCACATGTGTTATACCACTAAGCAGGTTCATAATTCCTAATCATCTACAAAGAAGAAACTATAAACATTTGAAACTTTTACTGGCTTTCTTTTAGAGGCATTAAATGTTTTGAAAAAAAAAAAAAGAAACTTGATATTGAAGTTACTATGGTCGTAAAAAGGCTAAATTTTTTATTGTTTTGATTATATCTTTTATCCTGAAAAGTAACCGTTTTACAGGGGCCCTAAATATCTAAATATGTTCTAGTCTGCAAAATTAGATGACTTTGAATTTGACACCGACCTAGCCAGCCATTTCCCAGGGACTTAGGAAGGTTGATGAAAGTACTTTTCCAAATAAATACAGTGGTTATATTACTGATATTACATGCATTTTTTAAAGTTCTCATTTCCTGGGGTGCCTGGATTGCTCTTTTGGTTGGATGTCCGACTCTTCATTTCAGTTCAAGTCATGATCTCATGGGTTGCCTGCACTGGGCTCTACTCTCTGCTTGAGATTCACTCCCTCTCCTTCTGTTGCACCCTGCGCCCCCCCCTCCCTCGCATGTGTGTACCCCACCCAGTAAAATAAATAAAATTTTTGAAATTTGAATTTCATATCTTTCTTCATTCCTTTAGATATAAAGATCAGCTAAAACATTTTGAAATTGCTTTAAAATTTGGCTCCATTGAAGCTATAGACAATGTTGACCCAGGAGAGTCTTATACCATTATTCTACTTTTTATCCCTTAAGGATGTCTGTTATGTAGTAGCTTTGTAGCCTTGTTTTGCATTCAGGAACTGACTCACATGACCAAGAATAAATTCAATTCTTAGCAATAGAGAGTAAGTCAAGTCAATTTGTGTCTGTGCTGAAAGTGACTTAAATTTGGTACACAGTTAATTTTAATTTATAAGTTCCTTTGAGTAAGTAAAAATGTTCATTCATAATGGAAAAGATTCTGTAGAATAAAGGGAAAGAGGACTCAGGGAAGTGATTGTAAATCAAAATATTATTTTTTACTTTATTGAGAGCCTTTCATGAGGTCTGCAGAGTCAAAACTACTTTTGTGATATACAATTTGCTTGTTGCACTCCTATTCACAAGTCAAGTTTTCCAGAGAATACACAATATGTAATGATGTTGCCACTCTGAAAGTTCTGGAATGTGTGCTTTTTATATTCTTGTGTTTTTAAAAATTTTTGAGTTTTAATTTATAACATAGTACATAGCAATAGATTTAACCTACATTGTAAAAGCTCAGTAATTTTTAAGAGTTGGAAGGAGTCTTGAGACCAAAAAGTTGGTGAGGCACTTTTTTTTAGCGTAGTTCGATCACATGTGTAGGCTTACTCCTTATCATCTTCTGTGTATTGTATGTTTTTGTCTGTTTTATGTGGTTTTGGCATTTTTAGGAACCATAACCTATTCTCTATGCTCTCTCAGGGAATAGAATGTGTTTTAGTTGGAGGTGACAATTCAGGAGGTTGGCTCTAAATAGTTCTTGCATAGAGGTAGAAAACAGAAAGCTAGATATAGAAGACCAGACTTTCTTCTAATAGTACAGGCCAGAATGACTGTCTTATGGTCTGATGTGCTCTTATCACTGGAGGGGCTTAATAATAGATTGGACAACTATTATTGAGAACATTCTAAAGCAGATTAATAGTATTCAGGTAGGGGACTGTACTAAAAGGGATATAATAATGCAAAGCCCCTTTATAAGACACTTAAAGTCCTACAGTTTTGGAGCTGAAACCACTTAGGCTGCCTCTGAATTCTAACACTAACAAATAGAGTGGTATTCTTGTCGGTTGGTATTAGTTAAATTTTTTCCTGTTAAGTCTTTTGAAAAATTGAAATAAATTTTAAAAAATTGAAATAAATTACAAAAATGGACCTTTCAATTTGTTAATTCTACTTATTTTATTTCTCCCATGTAAAATGTGGCATATTTAATCATCTTGTTTACCTTTTTTTTCTAATGTGTTTTATTTCAGTTGGTCGCATTATGTTTCAGCTCTTCTCAGACATATGTCCAAAAACATGCAAAAACTTCCTTTGCCTATGCTCAGGTAAATGAACTATTAAATTATTTCCAATGAGAAGTCATGGCTTATGGTTTTATCTTGCTTAACAGAATAGTTATTTTCAGTAAAAAGTGATTGACTGTAAAATGAGTTTAGCCTGTGAAAAAATACTATTTTCATTGATAGGAAATGAGGGAAGCATTTCTTAAAAGGTTAGGGAGAACAAAAGAAATGGTCTCAAAAGCAAATAAGAAAGTACTACTGTGTGTAATAAAGTCATCTCTAAACATTGTAGTTCATAAATTCTAAATTTCAGTGTTTTGAACAAATTTAGTTTTCTAGATTCACAAGAAATTTAGGATTAGAAGATAGGTAAAATATGATGCAGTTGTTCTTTGTTATCTGTAATGGGATTTGTATTTTTTAAAAGTAGAAAAAAATAGGAAGAACATCTGTGATGTTATTTTAAAATAACAAGTTTTTTTTTAATTCATGCTTTGATTCACTTACATACATATATGATCTTTGCACCACCAACTCCTTGATTGCCCTCTTTTACCGGAGTGATAACCATTTCTGGTCCTTTTTTCTCCTGTGGCATGTAGAGTCCGTGCCACACAATTTAACATTTATATGTTGCTTGATATGTTTTTTAGTTTCTGTGTATGTTACCTCGTTGCCCTATGTTTTGTATCTTGTACAGTGCTAGAAAACAGGGATTTCACAAAGGACTAATTGGATGTTTTTTTCCACAGAAAGATGTTTGTAGCTAAATTTCATTTCTTTTTTTTCTTTTTTTTTTTCCAGGAGAGAAAGGCCTTGGGAAAACAACTGGGAAGAAGTTATGTTACAAAGGTTCTACATTCCATCGTGTGGTTAAAAACTTTATGATTCAGGGTGGGGACTTCAGCGAAGGTAGAGCTAAAAGTTATGCTTTGAGTAACTCCATCCATCAGTTTCTTAAGTATATCATTCTATTAATTATGAGTATTGTGTCACATATTGTGTAAATATTAAGTGGTCAATGGATAGATGTTGGATGAATGAATGTTGTGAAAGAATGTGTGAAAAGCAAAATACTAAGCCGTTTTACTTTGATTTTTGGACCTTTTGTTTTTATGTACTTTTAATAATACTAGAAATACTTGGTCAGTTCTCTTAAAATGAATGCCAGATACTTTTGGATTATTTTTATTCTTCCTGAATTTTGTTAGTGTGATTACTTTTTGAAATCAATGTGTTATAGAGATAATTCTTAGTAGTATATATTATAATAGGATTGGACTTTTTTTGAACTTCTATTTTCAAGGTAAAGTTATTGAGCATTTGTAGAATTTTTATTATTGCAATACAAGGTGTTAGCTTCTTTAGCAAATTGAAAGCATAAAAAATTATAAGTATTAATATATTTTTAATTTTCATCCTAATTAATGTAGCTCATTATTTGCAGGTAATGGAAAAGGCGGAGAATCAATTTATGGTGGATATTTTAAAGGTAAGGCTTAATATTTTATGGTCTTTTGTTTCAGTTCTGATATTAAAGCAAATTTGATCATGTACTTTTAATGAGGAGAGGTTTACTTATAGTTCACTTTTTGCATGAAACTAATGGTGCATGAAAATACTTTATTTGCATGAACTTGGGGATAAATTATATTATAATATGTAACTTAATTGACAAGATTAATTAAGGCTAACTTTATGGTTAAACATGACTTTCAGCATGGAGGTTAGGCAACTATATACATGAAAACTCCTATCTTCCTGCCTAAAACTGTCAACATATTCTTTTGTTTATAGAGAATGTGGTCTTTTGCAAAATGAAAAGGTAAGAGAACGAAGCTCAGTAACACAAACTCCAATTCTGTTCCCTTGCACCCTTCCTAATAAATTTATGGACAGCCTGGGTTAGGTTGTGGCTGGATTTCTCATAATTGCTTGAAGACTTGGAAAATTCTGTATATTATTTCATACATGCATCTGTATCTTTTTTCTTTTCCCAATGGGTTATTAGTTCTACATCAGGGAAAAAAAATCTAGTTGTGTTTTTTTCCCCCTAAACCAAGCAATTGCTTTGAATAAAAGTTGGTATTTCCTACTTTCTCAAAGGTTTGTATGTTTTCTTTTATATACTAGAACTATATGATTGTGTTTTATTCCAACAGTAGTAGTATTTGCATAAGTCTAACTATTGCACTTGCCCCAAAAAGCCTTAGAAAAGTCAGTTGCAGAGATTTTAATGGGATCCAATCTTACTAGATTTTAATGCCATGATAGCTTCAGTGTTATAATAGTCTTTTATATTTCTTTTGGGGGAAAATGGATTACTACTCTTTTTCAGAAGCCTGTTCCCAAGGTAATCATTTTTTAAAGTTTTCTATGTTTCTGTTTGTTCTAAAGAAAGATTTGTTTGTATGAATGTTATAAGGAAATTTAAATTAGTTTTGAAGGTATTTCTGCTGGAATTAAAATCATCTCTGAGTGATCTTTATAACAGTTTTTCCTTTGAACCAGTAGGAAGCAATTCATTAGCTGGTTCTATCAGCTTGTAGCAATTTGAAACTAATGTAGGCCACTTTAATGTGGTTCACTGTGGCAGATACTTGTGTATCTTAGAATTCTATTTTGCCCTTTATGTTTTTGTTTTTATAGGACTTTCTTCATTAGAAAATTTTTGATCCTATTCATTAGGAGTCTATATACTTGATTTAATTTAGGTACATCCTTACAACTTAATTTATGTAACTTTTTGTGTTTTGCTTTCATAATTTAGCTTCAATATAGTTAAATAATAAGTTTATCATATAGAAATTAAGCAGAGAAGATTATTAAACTTCTTCCATTTATAGTACGTTAAGCAGGATAATTGGAGAGTTGAAGGAAATGAACTTTACTATAGAGATTTTTAAAGATTTTTTTACTGGTTTTCCCTGAAAGTTTATAGTTTACATATCATTTAGCCAAAGTATGTTACTACTAAAAGTGACTGTTCTAAGGCTGTTTGTATAAAGCATTAAATACATGTTCTTTCCTCAAGGCTTTAAGTAGTATTTTTGATCTTTTTACACTTTTGTTACTTGATTAGTTAAAATTTTTTTTTCTAAATATTCAGACAAGTATCTGTACTGACCAGAAGAGGAATTTCATCCTTTACTTTCTATTTATTACTGTGACATTACACTTTAAAAGTGGCTTATAATTGGAGACTGACGAATTTGTGTTTTCTTCAAACAGATGAAAACTTTATTCTCAAACATGACAGAGCGTTCCTTTTGTCAATGGCAAATCGAGGGAAACATACCAATGGTTCCCAGTTTTTCATGTGAGTAGGCATAATTCAGAGATGAGCTTTTCTTAAACAGAGAAGCGCTGTTCATGAGAAAGATGGTATAGTTAAACCAAGTTTAAATGTGAGAATACTGTCAAATTGGATTTTGTTATTAATCTCTAATGTTTCAGAAACTTGGTAAGCTCTAACAACTGCCTCAGCATTCAGCATGTATCTTCTATTTGAAGATGGTACTTAAAAGATGTAACTTGAAGATGTACATTATTTTAAAAATATGTTGTCATCTTAGAAAAAGAATTTGGCTTTGACTTAACAAAATTTTGGAGCTCAGTTTACCAAAACTAGATTGGAACATAAACTATTGATCAGCATTTAAAAATGGACTAGGACTGGATGTGCCCTTGGCCTGGAGAAACCATTGTTTGGTTGCTTTTTCTCTTACTGTTGCTCTTCAATCTTATTTGAGAGAGATACCATTGTTTTCTGATACTGTACAGAGATGAGTGATATTGCTGTTGCATCAGCATTGTAAAAAAAACCTTAATCTTTGAGACTTCTATGCATAACTGAATTAACCCAATATTGCTGTCATTTCCACCAAAATTTATGAGATTAGTACTCAGGAAGCTTCAGAATGCTAAATTTGGTATTTTTTTTTAAACAAAACAAAAACCAAACACCTTTTCATGTATGTACATGCACAACCACAACCTTATTTCTCATCTGAAAGACTTTTGGCATACTTTTAGTTACATTCTTATCTAAAACAACTCTAAAACCTATTTTTATTATAATCCCAGGATATAAAATAGGAAATATAATTGGCTAGCGTGAAGTTTAATCCTTTTGATTGGAGGTAAATCTCTATAGTTGTGCTGTATATGTTGGAGAAATATTTTACTCATAGTTTGCCAGAAAAAGTTTTTGTCATCTTTCTGAATGGACAAGTATGAATGGCGCTTCCCTGTCTTTAAAGGAGTAAATTATTCATGTAAAGTAAATCTCACAATTTAAATTTGTCTGCAGAATAGATTTCCAACATGATCTTATAAAGTTCAGATAAGGGGCATTCTATTCCTAAGAATGTCCTAAAAATGGAAAGCTGATGGAAGATGACAGTGCTTGGAGCTGTGCAGAAATAAAGGAAGACCGAAAACATTTGTTCCTCGATCATATTTTGATCCCATAGAGCAGTAGTTATTAATACTTCTCTACTAGAATATTTTTTTTTCCTTTACCTTCTTAAGGGCCAAAAAAATTAGTGGGAAATATTTTGAAAAACATCTTTTGTAGTAATTTAATATAAAATTATATACTCTTTGATAGAGGTTTCCCATTTCCATTTTTAAGCTTATCTGAACTGTGAACATATAAACTAATGAAATTCATTGGTCAAGAAGCTACCATCTGAGGGCTCTAAAGTTTCTTTTAGATTTCCTTTTTTATATTAGTACATTAAATTTTATCAGGCAGCAGCCGCTTCTTCCCATTGTTACATACCAATTAGCTTGTTTAATTAAATGTTACAAGTAAAAACTGGTGCAGGTACATACATTAATTAATATCTAGTATATGAGGTTCTCCCTTCAAAAAATTTTGTTTCTGTATTATTTAGTACTTGATTGTCTTTTGTAGGAATGCTTAGTAGCAAACAAAATTAAGGCCATTGCTTTTTCTACATAGTTAATTTTATATTGCACTGTTATTTTTGACAAGGAATGCCGAATGAAAATTTTAACACTGTGAATTCAGATTAAAATTTTTAAGCTTCTTTTTATAATTAACTGTAGATGGCACTAAAATCACTGTGAACTTGTGTTGAGAGAAAATGTTCTACTTTTAGTTTGAAATTTACTTCTGGAAATGAGTTTGCAGTTAAAAGCAATCTTGGAAGTAATTTAATGTTTTTTGTACATAAAAAAAATCCTCATTATTATTTTTTTTAAAGAAATTTTTGTGGCATGTGCTTTTTTATGCTGGCTGAAAGTACCAGTTCCCTACGAAATAAAACTTAAAATCCACCTTTCTAAACAAAACACTTCCTTGCTTTTATAGAAAGGGAAAATGGAGATGATGGCCCATAAAAAGAAGTCTTTGAAAATCTCTGTCTTGCAAGCCCAGGTCCTTTTGGAGTTGGAAGTAGTGAAAAAGTAAAATGTACTATCTTCAGGTTGTATCTATGATCACAGATAAACACTCTAAAAGCCGGGGCCGCAAGAGTTGATGGTGGCAGAGCCATCTGTTGGCTTCCCAAGGGTGGCTGCAGTGCTTTTTCCCTCTCACTATAGCTCTTCCTTGAGCACCTCAAACAGCTCTTCTGCATTTCAAACAGGAAAGGGTAGTGTGCCAAGAACTGCCTTTATAGTTCCAGTTTTATAGGCTTAATAAGGACTTGTAATACTTCCTTGCAAAATTGTATTTGTAGTTTATATTCTAAATCTACTACTTTGTAATTCCTAAGGAGTGAATTTGGTGTTATTAGTGTATTTGCAAAATATTTCTCAAAGATTCTTGTGCTTTGTGCAGTAACTATTGTCTTCATTACTGATGCATTTAAAACCTCCCCTTCATAAGGCATACATCATTTCTGTTAAACATAATTATGCGTATATTGCTTTCTTTGGAAAAATTATGTATATGATAATCAGATTTTCTTCTATAAAGCTATTTGTGATTTTTGCAGTAACTGCTTATATCTACTACTGTATTAGTCATAATGATTTTGGTTTGGGGGTCCTACCGAAGTAGAAGAAAACTGATTCTTCTGAAATAGTACTGCTCAAAAAACATGGAAGAAGTGATAGATGGTACTGTCCCCATGAATCACTGAGGAAATAATGGTTCATGTTAAGGTATTTTTGAAGGAATTCAAAGACCTGGAACCGAAGGAGTAACTAGGTTAACTCAGTATTTAGTCATTTTGTTCTTTTTATTATTTATTTGTTGAAGCCAAACACTAGGACTAGGAAGAATCCATAATAAAAGCTATAGAATTATAAAGTCTTAGTGGAAAAGGATTTCAATCATCTAGTCCAGCCTTTTCCTTGCAGAAGTAATGCTAAGGTAAAAAGACAGGGAAACATTTTTCTTTTCCTTTGGCTGTTAGTAATAGTCTTAATTCTGCTCTAATTTTCATTTTTTTTTTGTGCATTCATCAAAAAGATAAAAAAGGTATTGCATTAAGTAGTCATTAAAAAGATTAATTAGGTGGTTTATAGCTTTGTATTAAATAACTATGCTCCTGGGTTATTTTAGAGCCACTATTCTAGCTATTAGGAGACCTTGGTTCTTGCTTTATTGGCTGATCATCTTGAGTTAGTTTTGTCTTTCCTTTTCGGCTTGTGAAGTGTCTACCCCATTCTCAAAGATAAACATTTTAGCATGAAAACGTGGACATAAAAGGAAGAAAGTGTTTTGTAGGTTGATCCTAAGTTTCTGGATATGTGGAATGATTTGTGTGCAAACATCTTCTTGTCTAAAAGAAAATAGTTGTAACTGCCTAATTTCCATCAGTCTGAAAGATACAACAAAGAAGCTTCAGGCTCATTTGCCTAAATTAGGCAGCAGTCTTTGTCAGCTGGACATAGAAACATTGGCATGGTGATTACACTTGTCTCCCTTCCCTTAGTCTGTGCGACCTTCTGTACAACCATGAAATAGAAAGACCTGCAGAGCTTTGGGGAACAGTCTCTGTCGTTGGCCACCATCAGTGGTCATAATTAAAAAATTTAAGAAGGCAAGATAATGTGGAAAAGTCCAAATTTTAAACAAAAGTGTTATCAGGTAAAAATAGACCTATGGGACTAAAATAGATGTTCCGATATATGTTCTAACCAGAATTGCAAATGGCTGCTCACCTGAGTGGGAGAGAAGTGCTGATTGTTTCAGAGCAGAGCAAGGGGAGTTGAACAGTGGTTTGGTTTTAAGGGATTTTTAGAGCTAGGTTAGGATTTGGGGTAGCAAAAGTAAATTTGGGCAGAAATTCTTTTTCTCTGCACATATTCATGAGTCTGTATGAAAAGAAATACTAGTAAGTGTTCATAACCTGGAAAATTCCTAGTTTTTCTTTCTTTTTTGGGGGTAGTATCTATATGTGTAAATTGCAAGATTTTTCAAATCAGTGAAAAATGTTGATGAAACTTAACTATAAACCAGGTTCTGAATATCAAGTGTCCTCTGTAACATCCAGTCTTACTTAGTGTTTATGTGACCTATGTATTAACAACCTGGAAGGAATTATGTATCTAGTAGTGTTTGATGTGTATTATGTTAACATTAGTGCTGAATTTTTTAAAGCTCTCTATTTGGTTATTTTTGGAACACAGGAGAGCTCTGTAACATGGCTTGGTTAGTTTCCATGGCCCTTACACAAGCTGTGTTACTCTGTATAATTTGGTCCTCTTCCATGATGGTGTGGTAGTTTCAGGAGTTGAAAGAAAAAAATTGCTTGCTGTTCAAGGCTAGTTTAGACAAATAGGTTATCTTTATAAGTTCATACTACTTTACACCTGGAATCACTTTTTTTTTTACAACATTCATTGAAAACACATTATTTGAAACATGTTCTTTTTGACAGTAATTCATGTAGCAGTGCCTTTATAAGGAATTAAAGCTTGTTTTTAAATATGTCAAGATTTAATATGTCCAAAACCTTTTTAAACAATTTTGTATGTATACAAAATATATATAATATAATATATAATAGGGATTTTGGTCTGAGTATAATAGATGTGTTTAAAGTTTAAAAAGTTTGTTAGACTGTATTTTTTGAAAAAACTTTTTTGTACAATGGGGAAAATTAGGAAAAACAATTATCACAGCCAAAATTTGATAGCATACTTTTATACTTTCATCTCTCTTGCCTTCTTATCCTTTGAGAAGATCCTTAAAATCCTTGTTAAGCTGCTTTATTGTTTTACTATTATTTGGAAGACTTTAACAACTCAGAGGTTGTTAAGGCAGTGAACAGAAACTACAGTCCAAACTCTACACATTTATTCTTGATAGTGGTCTGTTGTGTGTGCTGAAAAAAGATTTCAAATGTAGAAATATGAAAGATTTTTAACTATTTTAAGTGAATTACTAAAAGAAGAAGAAAAGTTCCCTGAAATTTTGTTTTGAATTCTCTTAATTCTTTTCATTGAAATTTTTGCTTTCTACTGGTAGTAACTGCTCCTAGGCATTCAGATTTTTTATATTCATTTATGTACTCAGGATATATTATTCTCTTTTTGAGAAAGATGTTGGTTGACTTAGCTAGTTTGTAGGATTTGCAAAGCGAAATATAACGTTTGGTTACTCACACTCTAGTGTTAAAATATTAAGGCTCTGAGCAGATGCCCACTTTCAGCACAGTGTTTTTCTTAGGCATAGTTCATCCTACATGCATATCCTATGTGAAAGAAAATTTAGAGCCCTCCATTTTAAAAAAGCTTTCTTGCTTTGCATAAAACTTGCAAATATTTAATTTCAAAGTTATATTGATATTAAAACATAGATTCAGTCTTGTCTTAAAAGTGTATTACAATTTATTTCTTGCCATTTTTGTGTAAAATTTACAGAAAGAGTGTTACACCGTGCGCTCCAAAGGTAATGTCTCATTACTCTAAGGCTCTCTTTTTCTTTCTTTGCCTTTATCTCTTTAATCCTATTGTTATGTGCATTGAACCATTTTAAGAAAAACTTTCTGCTTGATTTATGGCAGCAATACATGTAAAACAAGTGTGTTTTATTGTTCGTGGTTAATCCTGGGAAGTATATTTTAATTTCAGTGACTTGTTTCCACCACATTTCCACACCTCTTGGTCCTTGGGGAGGGTGGGGAAGAGGGTGTATTGTATATAATGGTTTAGATTTCATTTCAGTACAGAACTGTTAATTTCTATATAAGGCCAAAAGCTTCTTTGATAATGGACAATAATGTAGATTGTTTTTTTGGAGTAATAGTGAAACTTCTCAATTTCTAGGATTTACAAAGTTTAAATGAATCCTTATACATATATTTTTAAAGTACGTTCAAGAGGTGGAGAAAACTGGAAAATTAGTGTCTAAGTGACAGGAAAAAAACGGAAATGTGAAAATATTGAAAGCTTTTATAATTATAAGTATTCTTTGTGGTTTTTCTCCTTTAGGTATGTTTTCATGAGCATGTGTAAACTTACATATTTATGATAGTCTCTGGCCTTCAGGTCTGAATTTATTGAACATATATCATCAACTGCATGGGTCTTTAACAACTGTATAGTTTTGAAAGATTAGTACAATTAAGAGCTGGTGGGATGAGATCTCTTTGTCCGGTTGAGTAGGATTGAATAGCTTGGACCGAGTATATAATTTCTCCCTGCCCATTTGGCAGTGTCCTCTGTTTATCCATGTCTGGTGTTAGCCTAGTGCCAGTATGCCTGCTTTACACTGTTATTTCTACTCCTGGAATGTAGGCTGAGAACCCCAAGGGGCTTCTTTGTTAAGATACTTTCAGTATTAACATGTAGTCTAATGCAATTTAAGTATAAATTTGTATTTCTGCATCCTGAATTGCGGGTGCAAGTGATGGGCTTAATTATTCACACCAGTTTAGGCATAGCAGGCCAGCTGAAGTTTGTTCCTGAAATAATGTTCTTGTCTTCATTTTCTTCACGATTGCAGTCAAGGACCAAGTTTTTTTGTCTTCAGTTTTCATTTGAATTTAAAACAAAATTGGAATCTGTCATAGGGTAGCAATTCCATCCTCAAATTGAGTCTCAAATAGTTTATTGCTACCTCACTGTAGTTAGCTAGAGTGTTTTCATCTCACCATTTGTTCCAAAGGTTTGCTGTAAAGTGGTTTTTACAGGACTCCTATTAGCCAGTGTGGCAAATTGAATTGGGTTCTCTGTGTTTTAGAAAAATCTGTAGGCTTTTCCCCAAAAGATCTGAGAGTTGTGAGAGAAAAGATCAAGGAATATACCTAATCAATAAACCACTCCTTGTTTTCACTGCTACATATTTGAAATTGATCCCTTAAAGTTGTAGAACATTTTTACCTTTACAGATTTTACCTCTTACATCTTTCATGCAGTGGAATCACTGTCTAGCATATGTACTAATTTCTTCCTATCATAAGCGTGCTTTGGTAAAGTTTTACTTATATGGGAAGCACATTTCCATCTTCAAAAGTTCTTATCCAAAGTAGTTTCTGGATGCTGGTTTAATTATTTAAACATTAGTTCCTCACCTGCTTGCTAGATTTTCTTCTTTTTCTTTCTTTCTTTCCTTTTTTTTTTTTTTAAACTTACTATTATAATAGCTTGAGTTTTGACTTCTTCAGTCTTCTAACAGGAATTTGAGACTTTGTGGTTTTAAAACTCAAGATTGCTTTTAAAATTCTGGAACTTCTTAAATTGACAATTTTTCAAATTCTGTAGTACTTTTACAGAACTGAATATTCTTAATGTAAGTATAAATGCCACCATTCCTTGTAGAATAATGATTTTTAACGTTGTCAAGGTGAAAATTGTGTTTGGTTGACTTACATGTTTTAGAATTGCCTTAAAATGAATATAAAAATTGATATGGGAGCTTCTAGTACAATTGACTGCTTTACATGGCCTGATATCCAGTGTCCTTCTCAAAATCTTCTATTTCTCATTCCTATAAACTAAAATATTTGCAGTATATACTTCTGAGTCTAGTTACCTGCTTTTGAATTTTTTCACTGCAAATCACATAGTATGAAGATTTGTGAAAATGCTATGGGAAATAACAGCTGGGTTAAAAATCTCTTAACCAGATGTACCCCATAAGCTTCCCAAGAGGGACTATCTGCGTTTGTGACGACTGTAGAAGAAGCAGGTTGGGCATTTTCTGGGCCATAGAAATTTAAAGTGTTTATAATGTTATCCATCATTACTTATTGTCAGAAGTATTGATAAAGGAAAGGTTTGCTCCCTATTGCATTTTCAGAGTTGCTGTGAGTGGCAAAGATTCATCTTAGGTGAGAGAGGCAGGAAGTTCTGAAAACAGGACTCCTGAGTCCTATCTCCATCTGCCCACCTATAAGATGCAGATTGATGCAGTATGAGAAATAACAAATAGAAGAATTCATTCAAGCGTGGGGACCAAGTGTTGATCACACTTTCCTTTCCTTAGGGCAGATGATAGTGCTTTTTATTCTCTTTATCTTGATAAGTTTTGAATTTGTTTTTGCTTTTGTTATTGTTTTGAATTCAAGAGTAATTTTAATGTGTATTTCATATATTTCAAAGCTGTTTCATACATATGTATAAGTATAGACTTCATATTGGAGAAATAGATACAATTTTATAATTTGTTATAATCTTGAGAATCTTTTTTAACTGGTCAAGTGTCTACTACTGCTGTTTGTAAAGTTCTTAAGTTTAGATATATGCCACATTTAACTTTTCCCCTATCTTTTTATCTTTACCTCTTTGTTCTCTACATGCTGTGCTTTAAACCCTTCTGCTGTGTTCACCTGAACACCTGGTTTTTGCCATCTTTGTGTTGATGTTTATTACACAGTACCACAAAACCTGCTCCACACCTGGATGGGTAAGAGTAACATTTTATTACCTTGGGGAGTTGTTGGGTGGCCAGTCCAATACAGGTTGGATTGTGAGTGAACCTCAAGGGGGTACTCTTGATCTCTGGGTTAATCTCTCACAGCCAAGCCCCTCCTTAAGGATCACAGGTTAGTTAGTTTTGAGACCTCCCAGCTGTCCTGTCACTGAATGGGGTCTTTATCTGGGCCCATGGATAGACCTCTCAGTCATGCTGTCTTGAGTGACCCTGTAACAACAGTTTCTGAGTATCAAGTGCAATCGGACTGTTCTCAGACTCTTTACCATAAAATAGTTAAGAAATACTGTTTTAGGCAGAAAACTAAGGCCCAGTTGAGTAATTATGTTTTTTTTTTCCTGTTATGAAGCAGATTTCAAAAATTCTAATTTCCTTCTAGTTGCTTCATTCATCAAACACTTTACTTTTTTTATATTGAGGTCTGTAGACATGTCATTTATAACACTTGTCATGATTACTACTTATGGTTTAATTGTCATCAAACCAATTATTTCTTGAATTTGTATTGTGACAGGGTCCATGTCGTCTTTGGATTAGTTATTTCTGGTTTTGAAGTAATCGAACAGATTGAAAATCTGAAAACAGATGCTGCAAGTAGACCTTATGCAGATGTGCGAGTTATTGATTGTGGGGTGCTTGCCACAAAATCAACAAAAGATGGTAAGAGTTTTTGTAGAGTGGTCGGAGCTTGGATACAAGTAAAACATGTTGAAGACTATAACTTAAAGATACCTTCTGGATTTTAGTAGTGAGAGAAACCATACAAGTAGTATAGCAATAGCCCTGATGCCTCTGTATCACACCTTCTATCCAGGCCATCCACAAATCTTATCAAATCTTCCTTCTTTTTACTTCCCCCTGCTATTAGCCTTGTCCAGACCACTGCTGTCTCTTACCTGAATGATTGCAGTAGCCTCATAACTGTTCCGTTTACCTCTGTCCTTCTTCTTTTTTTTTTTTTAATTTTTATTTATTTATGATAGTCACACACACAGAGAGAGAGAGAGAGAGGCAGAGACATAGGCAGAGGGAGAAGCAGGCTCCATGCACCAGGAGCCCGACGTGGGATTCAGTCCCAGGTCTCCAGGATCGCGCCCTGGGCCAAAGGCAGGCGCCAAACCGATGCGCCACCCAGGGATCCCTACCTCTGTCCTTTTTTATAATATTTTCTCAGCAGCAGGAATTTACTGCTGGTAAATTCTGGTCTCCTTGCTTATACTCTTGATCCTCTGTAGTCTGTCCTTAATAACAACCAGAGTGATCTTCTGCAAGGGCTCCCTTCTCAGTCAGCCAAAGCTAAAGTCTACTTGGTTTCTAAGGTACTCTGCTCTCTGTGTATCTCTTCCCCCTTATTCATCACCGTCTCAGCTATGTTGACCTTTACTCAGACACACCAGGCACACAGGGACCTTTGTTCAAGCTGTCCCCTCTGTCTGCAACACTCTCCATCCAGATATCTTCATGACCTCTTACCTCACTTCCATCAGGTCTCTGAAAGTAATTTTAAATTACCCCAACTCTCCCTATTCCCTTTACCCCCCGTTTTTTTTTTTTTTGTGTGTGTGTGTGTGTGTGTGTGTGTGTGTGTATGTTTCTATTCTAGCACTTAACTGTTTGTCGTATTTTGCAGTTACTTATTTTCTTATCTGACCCAGCTAGAATATAGGCCTCATGGAGGGCAAGGGCTTTGTTACCTTAGAATCACACCAGCAAATGGTTTTATTAACATGAAAAAAAGTTTATTTAAATTTTGTCTTTAGTTTTCTGTTTATAAAGTATGTTTTATGATACCTAGGTAGTCACATTTTCTATTCTGGAAGGTAATGAAATCCAGTACTCATATTCTTAATATTTCTTTAAAGTTTTTGAGAAGAAAAGGAAGAAACCAACTCATTCAGAAGACTCGGAATCCTCTTCCAATTCCTCTTCCTCTTCAGAATCTTCTTCAGAAAGTGAAATTGAACATGAGAGAAGCAGAAGAAGGAAACATAAGAGGAGGCCAAAAGTTAAACATTCTAAAAAGAGACGAAAGGAAGCAAGCAGTTCAGAGGAGCCAAGGAATAAACATATAACGAGCCCAAAAGGGTAAGTGTGAAATGCCAGGGGAATCTAAAAAACACACACACCCTGATGGGGAAAGTATGTGCAAATTGTGTAAACTTAGCTTTATTACCTGTTGTTGAAAAACGATAGCGTTTTTTGGACTTTAATCTGAAATCCGACTGCTCTAGGGGTAGCACAGACGTTATCAAAGATTATATATTTGCAGGTGAAAAAAAATCCTTGGAACTTAAAAAAGTTGGGATCATTTGGCAATTTTCATACTAGGACTTTAGTACTGTGGCATTTAGTAAGTGTTCATGCTTTATATGTTCTCTTTGTGAAAATTGTACAAACCATTTGAGTCAGATTTGTAAGTTAACAAATCTATTTTATTGCTATTATTAGTTATTTATTGTTAATATTATCATGAAATGCAAACATTGCACATTTTAATTGGTGACATGCTTTGTTCTCAGTCACTCTGAAAGGAGTGATACCAATGAAAAAAGGTCAGTTGATTCAAATGCTAAAAGGGAAAAGCCTGTAGTCCGCCCAGAGGAGATTCCTCCAGTTCCTGAGAACCGATTTTTACTGAGAAGAGATATGCCTCTTGTCACGGTGGAGCCTGAACCGTAAGTATGGTGATTAATCTCTTCTTTTTCATTTCTGTGAATGATAATTCCATCAGCTCTTTGCAGTTCCACACATTTATTGAGCATGACCCTTAGTCAAAGCACTTTGAACTATACTGTGGGAGATGCCAGGTTAATGGAATGACGTGTACCCTATCTTTCAGAATTCACATTCTACTAGTTGGTAAAAGGGGGTGGGACAAGTTGGCCAAGGGAGAGGTTCTTCTTGGAGCTCTGGAAAGATTGCATTACTCATTTTTTCTTTCTCTTTCATTGGAGATGAGATTTGGTTTGTCAGAGCAGAGGGTCTTTTGAACTGTTTGGAGCCAATTGAATGATAAGACATGTTCCAATTTGAATAGTATGAAATTAATTGCATGGTGATTAGGGATATAATTTAGTATCATAAATATGTGACTTGCTCACTTGCTTTGCTGGGTTATAACCTCTCTGCATTGGGAAAGATGGTGTGTAGCTTTAGATTTAGTCTTAAAAAGTAGTATGTAATATATTTTGTGTGTTACTTCAAGTTTAGAATTGTTAAATGTTTGAACAAAAATACCATAATGTGGCATATCATTGGTAAGTTCCCTATGAAGAGTTCTGTTGAATGTTGAGAAGTTATGCACATGTCCCTGTTTACAGACAGGTATCTACATAGGGTTATCATGTAATTGATTAAACATTTTTAAAGCCTAGTATTGTCTCATCTCAAACAGCTGTTAGAAAATGGGATATATCTTTGAATTAAAAGCTTATTAACATGCTGATGTTTTCATTTTTAAAAATTCTGGCTTGTTAATAAATTTTAGTGGGATCCTTCTTTCTTAAAATACAAGACACCAAGTTCACTGATCAAATCTATTTGGCTTTCAGCAGGTAGGAAACTTGAAATGGCAGTTTCTCTGTCATGGCAGGTGTTGTCCATGGCCTGCATTTGGCCTATTGCCTATTTTTGTACAGCCTGTGAGGTAAAACATGATTAAATGTTTGTAGAAAAAAAGGAGAGTAGTAGTTTGTGACATGTGATAATTATATGAAACTCAGTTTTCAGTGTGCATGAAGTAAGTTTTAGTGGAACACAGCCACATACATTTGTTCACTATAAGAAAATAAAGGGCTGTTTCTGTGCTACAACAGCAGACTTGAGTAGTTGTAGCAGAGTTTGTATGTGGTGCTCTGTTGCTTTACACTATTACTTGGTGCACTATGCATCACAGTGATGCTATTACAGCTCTCTGGTATTTCAGGTACTAGACACACAACCCCTATGTATGAAAAAAAATTTTTTTTAATTTTTTTTTTTTTTATGATAGTCACAGAGAGAGAGAGAGAGAGAGAGAGGCAGAGACACAGGCAGAGGGAGAAGCAGGCTCCATGCACCGGGAGCCTGATGTGGGATTCGATCCCGGGTCTCCAGGATCGCGCCCTGGGCCAAAGGCAGGCGCCAAACCGCTGCGCCACCCAGGGATCCCTGAAAAAATATTTTTAAAGATAAAGTATGTACAGTCTCATTACAGGTCAGCATTACCAGATGAACAGCATTATCTATTTTGATAGACAACACTATGAACCCTAATTAAGTGAAATGTTATTCAGCCCCCCCCAAAAAGAACTCCGTTCCTCTTGTTAATAGATCTTTATTACAAAGAAATAATACTCTTATAATATTTCATATTTCATTGATAAAACATTAGTGAAAATTTATTTTCTTTCTTTTTATCTAAGTACCTAAATAATAACCTTAATTTTCTTCTTGGCCTACCAATCCTAAAATACTTACTCTCAGATTCTTTTCATAAAAACTTTGCTGACCTTTGTTATCTGGTATTGCTAAAGGAGTAATTGCATTTGTGATTGAAAAGTGCTGATAATTTTGTTTGGTCACATAACATCTTTGGTAGTTATTTTATGCAGAATTGTTTTAAATCATAATTGGCTGGTAGTTGTTTCATGCAAAGATAGCACAATTATTTTATTTTATTAGGATCTTTGAGATTTTCATCAGTTGTTTGGGAGCTATAATGAAGTATCCTTCAAGAAATCAGTATATGCAGGACACCTGGGTGGCTCTGGTTGAGCGTCTGATGCCTTCGGCTAAAGACATGATTCCGGATCTGGGATCAAGTTCCACATCAGGCTCCCTGTGAGGAGCCTGCTTCTCCCTCTGCCTATGTCTCTGCCTCTCTCTCTCCATGTGTGTCTCGAATGAATGAATGAATTAATTAATTAATTAATTAATTAATTAATTAATTAAGAAATCAGTATATGCAAGGATAAGAAGCAGGGGCTGTCAGCCACCTTACTGATATACCAGCAGTTAAGCTCATATCCCTTGTAATTTGCTTAGCAGAATTTGGGTTCCACATTTGGCTCTAGTTTATTTGTTCTCAACCTTAGCTGCACGTTAGGATAATTTGCAGGCTTTTAAGAATATCAATTTCTGGGCCATACAGCAAATCAAATCAGAATGCTGTGGGGAGGAGGTAGAGAGTGGTCACATTGAATCAGTATCTAAAAGGTTCCCATGTAAACATTAATTTTTGCTGAACACATGTAGGCAAGATCAGTGCTTTTTCTTCATGAGGAAAATGGGATTAATGGTTGTATACCACGAGTACTTACTTACCTCATTGTGAGAATTAAGTAATGTCATGAAATGACTGAAAAAACTATATGTATACTTTGTAGTTAAGACTCTTATAGTAAGTAACATTAGTATGTTTATCTGGAGCCTGCTTCCTAGAGCCTTAGAAAATCCTATGCATTGGCTTTAAGAGTCAAGTTGCATTTCTTTCTGACTTTGTGCAAGATTTGTAGCCCCCTTAAAATTCTCTATCTTTAAAATGAAGATGCTAATAGTACCTACCTCATAGTGTTATGAGAATTCAGTGAGCTAATGCCTTTATAAAGTGCTTGGTAACCAGCAATGTACAATATGAAACGGGAATTAAGAAAGCAATTCTATTTAAAACAACATCTAAAAGAATGAAATACTTAGGAATAAAGAGGTGAAAGGTTTGTACAATGAAAATTACAAAACATTAGATGTAAATTAATGGAAAGATGTTGCATGTTCATGGATTGGAAGACTTAAAATTGTTAAGATATCAGTACTCTCCAAAGCAAGCTTTGCATTCAATGCAATCTCTACCAAGTTTCAGCAGCCTTTGTGCAGAAGTGGAAAAGTCAGTATCAAATCAAATGGAATCCAGGGGGCCTCAAATAGCTAAGACCGTCTTGAAAAGGACAAAGTTGGAGCATCTGCATTTCTTGTTTTCAAAACTTAAAGCAGCAGTCATCAAAATAGTGTGGTACTGGCATAAAGATAGATATATAGACCGATGGGATAAAATTGAGAGTCCATAAATAAACCTGTACCAGTATGGATAGCCAGGTGATTTTAGAAAAGGATGCAGAGTCCACTCAGTGGAGAAAGCATCAGTAAATGGTGCTGGAATAACTGGATTTCCACCTGTAACAGAGTAACGCTAGACCCCTACCTCACATCATATACAAAAATTAAAATGGGTCCATGACCCTAAACATAAGAACTAAAACTGTAAAACTCTTAGAAAATATAGGCGTACATTTTTAAGTCCTTGGGTTTGGCAGTGAATTCTTACAATTGGCACCAGAAGTATGGACAACTATAACAAAAAGACAACTCAATTTAAAAATAGGTAGGCACAGCACTTAAATAGTTGTTTCATACAGATGGTCAGTAAGCACATGAAAGGATGCTTAACGTCAGCATTAGTCATTAGAGAAATACAAATCACACCCACAGTGAGATAATACTCACCTACCAAGATGGCTATAATTTAAAACAATAACCAAGAAAACTAGTGTCAGCAAGGATATGGAGAAATTGGAATCCTTATACATTGGTGGCAGTAGTCTAAAATGATTCAGACATTGTAGAAAATGGTCTGGTCGTTCCTCAAAAAGTTAAATGTAGATTTACCATGTAACTGAGCAGTTCCATAGGTAGGTATATATCCAAAAGAATTGAAAATAGAAAATCAAATGGAGAGACGCCTAGGTGGCTCAGTGGTTGAGCATCTGCCTTTGGCTCAGGTCGTGATCCCGGGATCTGGGATTGAGTCCCGCATTGGGCTCCCTACACGGAGCCTATTTCTCCCTCTGCCTATGTGTCTGCCTCTCTCTGTGTGTCTCTTATGAATGAATAAATAAAATCTTAAAAAAAAAAATCAAACAGATACTTGTATGCCAGTGCTCATTGCAGTATACTCAACAATAGCGAAAAGGAAAAGACAGATCCCAAGTTGGTTGGATACACAATGTGATGTGTACATACAATGGAATGTTCCTTGGCCATGAATTAGAGATTACTAGAGGCTGAGAGAGCTCATGGGGGTGGGGGTGGGTGGGGACATATTCCTTAATGGGTAGAGTTTGGGTTTGGGGTAATGAAAAAGTTTTGGAAAGATAGTAGTGATGGTTGTACAACATGAATATAAGTAATACACTGAACTTTACACTTAAAAATGGCTAAAATGGGATGGATGCCAGGGTGGCTCAGGGGTTGAGCATCTGTACCTTTGGCTCAGGGTCTGATCCTAGGATCCGGGATCGAGTACCGCATTGGGCTCCCTACATGGAGCCTGCTTCTCCCTCTGCCTATGTCTCTGCTTCTCTCTCTGTGTCTCATGAATAAATAAATAAAATCTTAAAAATAATGGCTAAAAAGGCCAGTTTTACATTATATACATTTTACTCAATTATGTTAAAAATGCTTCACATAATGTCTGACACATAGTAAGTACTCAATAAAAGCTAGCCATTATGTTCATAACAAAAAACTTGAGGTATGAAGATTTCTCATGCATGGAGGACAATAGTTGCCACAAAAACTATATTCTTAGAATTACCACAAGGCTGCAGATTCAGAGCATTGACAGAGGGGCAGCTTGTAGAGTGGGGGGAAGACCAAAGATTTATTAAAAATATAGAATAAAATATGGTTTTAAAAACCCAATTGGAGCATCAGAATCAAATATCTCAGGATTCCCTTAGAACATCATTGTTTTGACAAGAGACATGTAAAAAGGGATTTTGCTTAAAAGTAGTTCTGTGCTTAAAAAGATACATAGTATCACTACCCATTTTGGGTTACTTTTTTTTTTAAAGGTTTGACATTTAAAAAGTTTGCCTAGAAAATCAGATTATATGGAGTGCCTCATTATACAAAAGTGTTGGATCTAAATAAAATGATTTTTTTAATAGGAGTATAAATTCTGCATTAAAATTTTTTTCCCTACATTTAAATATTGAGAAAACTGCTGAGCATTTGCTTATTTTTAATTTTCAATCTTCTTTTCTAGGAAGATTCCTGATGTTACACCCATTGTAAGTGATCAGAAACCTTCTGTATCAAAATCTGGACGGAAGATTAAAGGAAGGGGCACAATTGTATGTGTGTTAATAAGACTTCTTTTTTTCAAATTACGTATCTAAGGTAGTATAGGCAAAATCCTAGCTTTAATTTTAGGTAAAATCCAAGATCTGTTCAAGGAGTTAGTTTTATTCTCCGTAGGTATGTTGCTAGTAGAGCAAAATTTATTTGCTGTATTTTAAATATGAAATGATATGTGAAACAGTGAGTATGTTGAGAAATCTTAGTATGTTGAATAATCTAGGCTAATGAATGCAACCATTAGGACTTAAAGAAAAAAATCCCATTTCTTTTAGTCTCTTTTATGTTTGGCATAACTTCATATCATCTTTTGTACTTTAATCATTATTTCTTTTGAATGGCATCTGAGATTGGGTCTTATACCTAACTCTGTCCTATAGCAGATTGTAATTGAGAGGTATTATCGAAACAGTTATTCCTATCTTTGTTTTTGAAGCGCTATCACACACCTCCAAGATCAAGATCATGTTCTGAATCAGATGATGATGATAGCAGTGAAACTCCTCCTCACTGGAAAGAGGAAATGCAAAGATTAAGAGCATACAGACCACCTAGTGGAGAAAAATGGAGTAAAGGAGATAAGTAAGAGCTTTGAGTATGAGCACAGTCCTATTACTACTATATTTTAAGTGTTAAGAGGCTAGAGACTTACTTCTGGACTTTTCATGAAAGACTTAACATTAAAGTTAGACCATGACCAAAGAATATATTTGAGAATACTTGGCAGAAAGAGAGCTATTAAGTAGGAGGGCTGATTGGCTTCAGGATGCTTTTAAATCAAAATTCTGGGGACGCCTGGGTGGTTCAGCAGTTGATTGCCTGCCTTTGGCCCAGGGCGTGATCCTGGAGTCCCAGGATCGAGTCCCACATCAGGTTCCCTGCATGGAGTCTGCTTCTCTCTCTGCCTCTTTCTCTCTTTGTGTTCTCATGAATAAATAAAATCTTTTAAAAATAAAAATAGAAAATAAATCAAAATTCTGTTTTCCCTCCCAAAGCTGTAAAACTACTAAATCAGAGATACCCTTGTTCAATTTTAGAAATAATCAGGACTTAAAAATCATATAGCAGATCCTTTTCTAGCCAGGTCTCTTAGTCATTGATGAATTAATTAGTAGGTAGGAAAATCTGTACCTAGCATGTGCATTAACTTCTGACCCCGAGGACTGTTGGTTCTTCAGAAGTGTACCATCTCTTACCCTCAATAATACCCCACAATAGCCATTGTTGAAATGGGGCTGGCTCCAGAATAGCTAGTGAAAAATACACCAGTGGGATCCTCTATAATTGTTCATGGTAGTAGTCTCTTCTCTTCTGTGGGTGTCCAGTAGAATGGTTAGAAGTTGGAAGAGGGAAGAAAAGATAATGCGTCTGTTGTGTGAGAGTGATTTAGACACAGTGATATAGAGAACTCTTAATGTTGAGCCCTGACACTACCCATTACCAAGTCTGCATCTATTTTCATGTGCTTTTTCCTTAGTTTCTGTAGTAAGTAATTAAACCTTAAGAGAAAGTCTTGATTACTGTGAAGCTGAAATAAAATAACAGCCATGTGAGCTTCTTAAGAGGCTTCTTTTTTAAAGGTCAGGCAGCTGTCCTGTATCTGCAGGAAATCAACAGAATTGTTTGGGAACTTGATTTGACTCTCCCTCAAAAATTGTTCCCAGAAGCAGAGGGTCATGAACAGATCCTACCTAGCCAAGGAGCTCTGTCACTAGTGCTCTTGTGATTAATTGGTTTGGTTTGGCTTCCAGAACTGTTTTTCTGTGAAATTTGAAGTCTTTTTGCTTAGTTAAAAAAAAATATATCCTTTTATAAGTGAATCTGCTAGTAGTTGTCAGCAGTTTCAGCATTTCTCTGGAATTATAGGTCAAGAGGAGGCCTATCCATACCCTTTGCTTTATCCTTCCTATATGTACTTCAGGTGTTGATGGAGTCAGTAATTTGCTCTTTAGGCTTTTGTCAATGCATCTGTATTGACCACAAATGTGTTTTTCAATCTAAAGCATAGAAAACATGCTTGTAAATAACCATGCATCTTATATCCTTTTCCATAGATTAAGTGATCCCTGTTCGAGCCGATGGGATGACAGAAGTTTGTCCCAGAGATCCAGGTCGTGGTCTTATAATGGATATTATTCAGACCTTAGTACAGCAAGGCACTCTGATGGTCACCATAAAAAACGCAGGAAAGAGAAAAAAGTTAAACATAAAAAGAAAACTAAAAAGCAGAAACATTGCAGAAGACACAAGCAGACTAAAAAGAGAAGGATTATTGTACCATCAGACATAGAATCCTCAAAATCTTCCACCCGACGAATGAAATCCTCTTGTGACAGAGAAAGGAGATCTCGTTCTTCCTCGTTATCATCTCATCGCTCCTCAAAGAGGGACTGGTCTAAATCTGATAAGGATGACCAGAGCTCTTCAACCCATTCCAGCAGAGACTCCTACAGATCTAAATCTCACTCGCAGTCTTATTCTAGAGGAAGCTCAAGATCAAGGACTCCCTCAAAATCCTCATCACATTCTCGAAGTAGATCAAAGTCCAGATCTACTTCCAAGTCAGGGCACCAAAGGACAACATCAAAATCACCAAGAAGAACAACCTCTCAGTTAAGTGAAAGTAAAGCAGTTAAAACAGAACCCTTAAGAACAACAGCACCACAAAATGAAAACGTCGTAGTACAACCAGTGGTGGCAGAAAATATTCCTGTAATACCTTTGAGTGACAGTCCCCCTCCTTCAAGGTGGAAGCCTGGACAGAAGCCCTGGAAGCCCTCTTATGAGCGAATTCAGGAAATGAAAGCTAAAACAACCCATTTGCTGCCCCTCCAAAGCACTTACAGTTTAGCAAATATTAAAGAGACTGGAAGTTCAACATCCTACCATAAGAGAGAAAAAAATTCAGAAAGTGATCGGAGTGCTTATTCAAAGTACAGTGATAGAAGTTCAGAAAGTTCACCAAGGTCAAGGAGCAGATCTTCTAGGAGTAGATCTTATTCCAGATCATACACAAGGTCACGAAGTCTTGCTAGTTCACATTCAAGATCTAGGTCTGCCTCCTCTAGATCTCATTCACGAAATAAATACAGTGATCGTTCACAGTGTAGTAGATCCTCATCATACTCTTCTGTTAGCAGTGATGATGGAAGACAAGCCAAGAGAAAATTTAGATCCAACGGGAAAAAAAATAACACTTCAAGTAAGAAGCACAGCGGCAGCTCTGAAAAGAGACTTCACCATAAATATGTGAAAAACAGAGAGAAGTCTTCAAGTCAGAGAAAGTATAGTGAAAGCAGGTCATCTTTAGATTATTCTTCAGACAGTGACCAGTCAAGTGTTCAGGTTACACAGTCAGCCCAGGAAAAAGAGAAGCAAGTCCAAATGGAAATGAACAATAAGCAAGAGAAGAACAGAGATGAAGAGAAATCTAAGCCTGAACAGGAATGCCCTCGTTCAAAGAAAAGAGTCTTGAGAGAGAATCTTTCTGATCACCTTAGAAATGGCAGTAAGCCCAAAAGGAAAAATTATGCTGGGAGTAAGTGGGACTCTGGGTCAAATTCTGAACGAGATACAACAAAAAACAGTAAAAATATTTCCCGGCCATCTTCTGATAAGGAGGAAGGTGAGGCTACATCAGATTCTGAGTCAGAGTTTGGTGAAATTCACAGCAAAGCCAAACCTACAACAAAGTCTTCAGCAAGTGCTTCGCTGCCTGATGGTAATGGTGCTTGGAAATCAAGTAAGCAGCAGTCTTCGACCTCTGATTCTGAGGGGTCCTATTCCAATTCAGAAAACACTAGAAGAAAGGCACGGAAGCGCAAACATGGGTCAAAGGAAACTCTTAAAAGAGAGCAGACCAAAAAAGCAAAGGAGAAACTGAAAGGGAAAAAAGACAAAAAGCACAAGGCTCCAAAACGAAAACAGGCATTTCACTGGCAGCCTCCACTAGAATTTGGTGAGGAGGAGGAGGAGGAGATTAGTGAAAAACAAGTTACTCAGGAGGCAAAAGAGAAAAAACAAGTTTCTGAAAACAGTGAAACCATGAAAGAAAATATTCCACACACTGAGAAGTCCTGTGAAGAGGGCAACTTTTCAGGTAAATGCAATCCAGTCACGACTTCTTCGGAAATGGATCAGCCTGCTAAAGAGGATACTAAACTCCGTGCTTCTCCCACAGCCTTAACTACTGAGGAGAATGTCACTGCTTCTCCCTCCAACATTCAGCCTATTGCAGAAAGTGTCCCAAGCGGAGTGGAGGATGTGCTGCAGACAGATGACAACATGGAGATCTGTACTCCTGATAGGAGTTCCCCAGCAAAGGAGGCATCCCCTCTAGGGAATTCAAGGCTTGCCACTGCAGACGTAAACATTGTTCTAAAACAGGATATGCACACAGAGCATCCTGAGACAGAGGAGTCAAAACAGGAGAGCAGTATGTCCGAAAGTCAAGCAATGGGGGATGTGGGGAAACAGGACAGCAGCCCTGCTAGCTTGGCCAGCACTATAGAAAGCACTGTGAAGAGAGAGGTGGCAGAGAAGAGCCAGATCAGTCTCATAGATAACAAATGGAAGCCCCTGCAGGGTGTGGGGAACCTGGCGCCACCAACTGCTCCCACATCCAGCACTGTGGAGGTAAAGGCATTGACTACTGCACCTGACATGAAGCCACAAGGCCTGAGGATAGAAATTAAAAGCAAAAATAAAGTTCGGCCTGGGTCTCTCTTTGATGAAGTAAGAAAGACAGCACGCTTAAACCGGAGGCCAAGGAATCAGGAGAGTTCAAGTGATGAGCAGACACCTAGTCGGGATGGGGATAGCCAGTCCAGGAGTCCAAGCAGATCTCGAAGTAAATCTGAAACCAAATCAAGACACAGAACAAGGTCTGTCTCCTACAGTCACTCAAGAAGTCGATCACGAAGCTCTACATCATCTTACCGGTGAGCAATGTATTCTCTTTTTTCTCCCCCAAGGAGCGTTTATTACTGTTTAACTTAGAAGAACATCAAAATTATGACAAGATCACTCTTTCCAAAAATCTGGAAGGGAGTAAGGGGGTAGTCTTGTGCTCTGTGGCTAAGAGAGCCAGTTTGAGGACATAGGAAGTGGGGATTTTAGGTGAAGAAATTTGGGTTCAGTGTCAAAAACTATTATTTGTCACTTAAAGCTTTCTGGTAACAGAAAGGAGTTGCCATGATAGGTGGCAAGTTTCTCTCCTTGTCGGTGTGACACTGCTCTCCCGCCTCTCAATGATGCCTTCGAAGGGAATCCTGAATTTACAGAATTATGTAGGATTTAAAGATCATTAATCCAACCCTCCATTTTACACTAGTGGGAGGTGAGAGGCAAAGTTACTTGCCTAACACCTGCATCTAGTTGATCTTTATTTTGAGGGTTAGCAGGGAGGCTGTGGTAAAAATGATCGTCTTTAGATTTATTTATTTTGGTTCAAGCTGCGTCTAACTTTTGTCATCAGCATAGGCTGGACAGTGCAGAGAATGATAATTTTTATAAACTAAAGAAATTAGGATGATGATATGAAGCTAGTAAGTAATTTGTATTCCTTTTTTCTTTTCCTTGTAAATATTTCATGGTTTACCTCACTATCTCTTAATTGCTCATATCTTGAATGTGTACTTACTTGTTTTTCGTCACTTGACCCTAAAATATAGTAAGAATCTTTGGGGTTTTTCTCCCCCCTTTCTAGCTATTTGTCTTCCCTTTCTCACCGGAATTTCTTTAAAAATAGGAACCAACGCTTGCCATCTGTAACAGCTGTCTCCCATTTACTCTTTAGTTGCTTGCAGTCTGTCTTCTGTGCTTCCCTCCCCTGCTTCTTCCTAAAAGGGCTATTTTCAGGTACTTCGCATGAGTGCCAGGGCATGTTTGCCATCCTTTCCATCTTTCTGGAACCTGCTGCTAGCTCTCCTCGACCCTCTCAGACCATTCAATGCCTGTGTTGTGGGCCCTTCTTCTTCCTCTTGACCTGACTTCCAGCAGGCCCAAAGAGCTGGTGAATCCTGGCCTTTTCTTTCTAGGTTCATGTTCCTAGATGCAGGCAGCTATTGAGCTATTCCTGTCTGCTTAACGTCTGCCTGCCATTCGTGCTCTGACAGTTCTGTGCTGTTGGTGATGCTGGCCACCCTCATTTAGCTTCCTGCCGCTGCCTTTGGGGTGGGTCGCATTTCATTTTATAAATAAAGACAAGGGGATCCCTGGGTGGCGCAGCGGTTTAGCGCCTGCCTTTGGCCCAGGGCGCGATCCTGGAGACCCGGGATTGAATCCCACGTCGGGCTCCCGGTGCCTGGAGCCTGCTTCTCCCTCTGCCTATGTCTTTGCCTCTCTCTCTCTCTCTCTCTCTCTGTGACTATCATAAATAAATAAAAATTAAAAAAAAAAGATTTATAAATAAAAACAGGGTTAGAAAGCCTAAGGAATTTGCTTTAAGTTATGCAGCTGATGGGTAGTAGACTAGACAGTTAACCTTTACTCCCTCTTTTGGTTACTCACCTGGCTGTGACTCTGCTACTAGACTGAACTCAAGTCTGGGACCATTTCCTACTTATCTTTCAGTTACCTCACAGAATCTGCTCTGTAATTATTTGTTGAGTAAACGACTAGAGTCTTATTAGAACATAACATATTCTTTCTCTTGTAGATAAACTACAAGCAGAGCATGTCTTCGAGTACAATGTAGTGAATAAAATAAAACCTATGAAGATGTTACATAAGTAGCCTAGACACAGGGGTCTTGTTCTGTCATGACAGGTAGAAGGTTGAAGAAGAGTGGGGAGCCGAGGGAATGCCAAGGGGCGGAATTGCACTACTTAAGTTTCTTGTTTTATTAAATACTAAGTAGATTTTTTTAAATGATTAGGTATAAATAATATTTCACGTTATGTCGTCTAGTTTTTGAAAAATAGAGCTTTGACATACCTGATATATCCCTACCCAGTGCCACCCTACTTTCTTCTGTCCTAGAATTAAACATTATTCTAAACTTTTGTTGTAGTTTTGTTGTTGTTCTTTAGATTTGGCACAGATATTTCTATCTGTATACAATGTTTTTGCATGTCTTCAAACAAAATCTTTACAGATATATACCTACGTACTTACGTACATACCTACATTCGCGTTCTATCTGTGCATTTTTCACTCAGCATTATGTCCAGGTGACGTCTGTGTTGATGTACTTCATTCATTTTCCTACTTGAGAATATTTTACTGTATATTTGTGGGCCGCCCCAATTCTATCATTAATGGAGATTGTTTCTTCTTCTGGTCTTCCAGATAAAGCTCCAGTGAACATACCTTTACCAGCCTTTTCTGGTTTATTGCATTCCATTCAGTTTGTTTATTTTTTAAAGATTTTACTTATTCATGAGAGACACAGAGAGAGGCAGAGACACAAGGTAGAGGGAGAAGCAGGCCCCACGCAGGGAGCCCGATGTGGGACTTGATCCCGGGTCTCCAGGATCACGTCCTGGGCTGAAGGCGGCGCTAAACTACTGAGCCACCTGGGCTGCCCACATTCCATTCCATTCCGTTTAAACCCTCATAAGCTGTCATTGTCAAACCTAGTATGAAGAGTTTGTGAATGGCCTTTCCTTTGGTTGTATTCTCCCGTTCCTATCCTACTAGTAATTGTTTGAACAGCATGGTGAGTTAATATATTTTTTCATTCTTCATTGTAGATCAAGAAGCTATTCTAGAAGTCGGAGTAGAGGATGGTACAGCAGAGGCCGCACAAGAAGCCGGAGCAGTTCCTACCGCAGTTACAAAAGTCATAGGTGAGTGTGGGGAACCAACCCTACCATGTGGTCTGCATCCTGTCTGCTTTTCTTTTTTTTAATTTATTTTTATTTTTTATTTTATTTATTTATTTTGTCTGCTTTTCAAGGGCTGCACAGGCAGAGTGGTGGGAGCCGATGAAAAGAATCCTACCATCACTGAATACCAGACAGGCCTATTGTCTTGTCTAGTTGTTTCTTTCTAGGAACTGTCAGATTCTCACTGGCTTTTTTCAAGATGTGATTTTCTCAGAGTGAGGAAAGAAGCAGTAGAAATCTTTAAGAGGCCCTGCCCAGGGATCCCCGGGTGGCTTAGCAGTTTAGGCCTACCTTCGGCCTAGGGCGTGATCCTGGAGTCCCGGGATCGAGTCCCACATCGGGCTTCCTGCACGCAGCCTGCTTCTCTCTCTGCCTGTGTCTCTGCTTCTCTCTCTGTCTCTCATGAATAAATAAATAAATAATCTTAAAAAAAAAAAAAAAGCAACTCTGCCCACCATCTCCCCCTCCCTCCAGTATATCTTCTTTGACCTCAGTTCACATCTGCAGTCACCTCTTGGCTTGGGTTTAGGACTGGGATAAGAGGATTGATTTGTTAATAAGAGGCCACAGGGTGGAGCATGTGGGACCCATGTTCTCCCAGCTTCATCAAACCCTCTTTCGCCTCTCAGGTAATCTTTCTAATGAAATCCAACATGCTTTTTTAAAATCCAGTGTTCTTTTGATAAATGAAGTAGATACAGCTACTGGATTTCATGGTGTTTTTTCCTTGATGGTAAAGAAATGTCTAGATTTTTTATATGGCCTATCCTGACCTATAAGATGATAGTCCCTCATGTGATTCATATTAGGACATCCAGCAGGAGCAGATCCAGGAGCAGCTCGTATGATCCCCACAGTCGGTCCAGGTATGAACAGGGATGGGGAGCCACCTGTGAGGGAAGATTTGAAAGGCCTTGTTTTATAAACCCTTCATTCCCTTTCAGAAAGTGTTGTATTCTATTGAAAAATTTAAACACATGTATTTGTCTCTCATAAAATCATATCCTATCTGCATGAGGTTTTTTTTTGACCAGCTTTTATCTGTTGGCTCATTGTACTCTATAGTGTCAAAAGTGAAAATTGATACCTGATGGCAGGTATTTATTGAATATAATTGCCTAAAAAGATCCACCAGATTCAGTGTTAACTAAGTCAGTGTTAACTTTGTAACATTTTTCAATGCAGAAAAGAAATTAACATTTTTCTGTTTAACGTGGTAAGTCTCCCTGGGTCACTTGTTAAATGTTTCCAGTACTTGCTGTGCAAATCTGTCCCTCACACTGTCCTGTAATAATGCCCATGTTCTCAGAGAACACTGATCAGATCATAAATAGAAGTGGAAGCATGTGAATATTTGAATGGGAAAATTGAATATTGTGTTGTTGCTGTTAAAGCAGGTCCTACACTTACGATAGCTACTATAGCAGGAGTCGGAGTCGAAGTAGGAGCCAGAGGAGTGACAGTTACCACCGAGGCAGAAGTTATAACAGGCGATCCAGGTGAGTCTCCCTCCTTTAGATGACTAGAGGGTGTGCTGTGCGCACTGGTGTGGGAGGTGACTTTGTCCACTGTGTATGTCCCTAGGATCTAGCAAAGTGACTGGCTCCCTGAATACTTTTCAGAATAACTGATGGTGACCGTTGCCAGGTCCTCTTGATGCACTATCCCAGTGGTCCTATCCATACCTGCCCCACCTTCATCCCTCGTGGGGTCCCCATTTTGATTTCTATGTTTTTAAGGAAACTCGTTATGTGCCTTTTTTTATATTCCTTCTTCAGTCTAATTAAATATTGATGTTCATTTTGGGTAACATGGAAAATTACTCTGTTCATTTGCATGAGTGGATTTCAAGTAATTTCCCAAGATGCGATGTTTCTTTATCTTAACCTTGATATTACTACCATCTGTCATTTAAAACATCTTTGAAAAGTCTACACTGTTGCCACAGTCAGGACCCCACTCATCTACCCACTGTGCTATGCCACATCAGTATTGCTTTCAAGCCACTCATATCAAAAAAGAAGCTTTAAGAAGAATTCAAAGGGTTGAAGTTAAAAGGTGTCTGTATATTTCTTTTGTTACAGGAGTTGTAGATCTTATGGCTCCGACAGTGAAAGTGACCGAAGTTACTCTCATCACCGGAGCCCCAGTGAAAGCAGCACATATAGTTGAAAATGTCCCCTTTTTTGATACAAATTATATATTATTTGTAAATATCTGGTAACTTAAAAGTTTAAGAAACTTAATGGCAGTCTGTTGTTCTATTTCAATATTAGAGATAAGTTTGAAAAATAGACATTTCTTGTTATTGTTCATTTACATGTGCACAGAATTTAAAATACAGATATGTCTCCCAAAAATATTTTTATGCCACATTTTACAGTAGCCAACTATGGAAATGAATTTCATTTTCTTGAATCAAGAAATCATGAAATTTAAGTATAATTTGCAATATTACTTTAGGTTGTCTCTTTCCATCTCATGTATTCCTTAGAATACAGATTATTTTTGCCCGTTTTTCAGGTTTTAGCATATATGCTGCCAGGCACAGAACTGTGAAGAACTGTTAAAGGTGGCCAAATATTTATAGACCAGTTACACCGTCTTATACATTTGTGCTCTTAAAACAAACCACCCAGAATTGATACTAATGGTAGCCAGGAGGATAAGGCAGTGGTTCTGGAGTTCTTCATTCATTCATTCCTTCTTGCTTATCTCAGAGGATCAGGAAAGTGGTCATCATACAGCCCCCCATCTGTCTTACTCCAGGCTGGCTGGTGAGGTTAAGAAGAGTAAATCAGCCTTAACTATAATACCTGCACTGTCTCTAAGGCCCTAATGTTTTATGTGCTTTTTAATAAATACTATCAGAAGTTTAGATTATAAAAAACAATTCTATTCCAGTTCATGTTTTGGTGCTCGGTACCTTTTGGTACCTCTTTAAGTATACTTTACATTATTAGAATCTCATAGGAGAGAGAAATGATTTTTTATTTTTATTTTTTTTAATTCGCTGGCACCAGGCATGGTTCCTTCTGAACTATATTCACTTTCAGAATTGGAGAGCTTACTCTCAAGTTCCGGTGTGGCCTGGGACCCCCTGGAGCAGGCAGGATTGGCACAGGGAGTTGTGTGGCCCCTCAGGGCTGCTGCACATAACTGGCATGTGTGCCTCTAGGAGAGCGGATTGAAGAGTTGGACTTCAAAGTACTACCAAAAACCTCACTGCCACCATCCTGGAGACATTTTGGAGGGCCTTTGAGTCTTTCAAGTAAGAGAGATCTACCACAATAGCAGTTAAACTGTTCTAAGCACCAGCATGTTTCTCCTCTTTCTTCTGTGACCCACTCTGACTCAGTGAACCCTTGCGTGACGGAGTGAGTACAGGATGACAGGGGAAGGGAGCGCCATACAGTACTGCACAAATTACACATGTTCGGTTTTGGGTGGTTCCTCCAAAAATGATTTGACCTGTAGAAACTGGTGTGATTTTTTTTTTTTTAATCTTTGAGTTTTTCCCCCAAGTGTACTTAATCACCTTAGTGCCAGTTTATAAGCCAGTTATGCAGAAGAAATTCATATTGGATGTTTGATATGGAACTTTGCACCATCCTACCCAGGCCTTGCTTGGGGTACTTGGGAAGTGGGAAAGAGCCCTCAGTTGGAGGGATCTGACAACCCTTGAGGGGTGAAGGGGTGACCATGGATATATTAATAAAATCATCACCCATAAAAAGTTCATAAACAGGGTTAAATTGTCAGCTGTTTGCCAGATTGATAGACGAGAGTACATTGAAAAACAAGACCCAAGTCAAACAAACGTACTTCCTAGTGAATACAGAACAATGTGTTATTCATGTGAAGGGTTTTCAAAAGTTGCCTGTAATACTCCGTGGGGAAAAAAAAAGGCATTCAGAACCCAAACCAGAACTGCCAAATCTAATTAGGTTAGGAAAAGTTACCTTTGGACAATGTATTCATTTTCTATTGCTATGTAACAAATTACCCCATACTTAGCAGCTTAACAACACCCATTTCTTAGCTCACAGTTCTGTAGCTTGGGAGTCTGGCACAGTGTGGCTGGACTCTCTGCTCAGGGTCTCACCAGGCTGAAATCCCGGGTTAGCAGAGCAGCATTCCTCTTTGGAGGTTCTGGGGAAGAATCTGCTTCCAGGTTTGTTCAGTTCCCTGACTCAGCCAGAGGCTTCTCCCTCAGCTCCTGAAAGCTGCTTGCTTTCCCTCTTGTGTGTTCCCCTCTGTCTTCAAACCCTCAGTGGCCCATCTTATGCTTCCATCCCTCTGCCCTCCTCCACTGTTTCAAGGTTTGTATAATTAGATTAAGCCTGCTGATCAAGTCTCCCTATTATCAGGTCAGCTCTGCCATAGAACATAGCATAATCACAGGAGTGACTGCATAGGTGCAGGGTCCTAGGATGGGTGGGGGGTGGCGTGGGCCGTTCTAGGACCCTGCGGACCCCAGACATTAACTGCCCATTGCAGTGGAGTTTCATCCCCAAAAGGTGGGCCCTTGGAAGAGTTGATTGTTTCCAGCCGCAGCATTCAACTGTGTGTTTACTGAATGAACTACAGAAATAGCTTTTCTGCCTAGAGGGGATTGTTCTGTATTTTAAGTTATTTTTTAATAAAATTTAATTATGTTGTGTATTGTGCTTCTTAATAGAAAATGTATTATTGGACTGTTTTTGTAACGTCTTGTTTACTGCAAATGAAACATATAGCTGGTATTGTTCAAAAACTGTAGAAAATACTTTTGTACATATTGGCAGTATCTAATTTGTATACACTTCATTTAAATGTTCCTAAAACTTGAAAGAGGGACCTCATAGAAATTAAAATCTATACTTAGTCTAAAGCTGTGCCTGTTTCCTTTCTTTACTCATCCAGACTTCAGATCTTTCTGAAGTGTTGAGTCTCTTTGCTGACCCAGCCAGTAAAGAAACTTCATCTCTGCAGCTCATTTTCATCTTGTCCCTTAGTATCAGTGGTGGGGCATGAGGTGGAGCCGGAGAGAACTTCAGGCCGTGATGGAAATGTTCACCTACCCAGAGAAGCATTGATGATGCTTGGTCTTTCTTCCTCTGCAAACTTCAGATTTCCTCCAGACTTTGTTCTTGTCATTCAGCTGAGGTGACTTGCATACAGACATCTTTGCTAAGGAAGGAATATGTCCCATCTTATTTGGTAGTTGCTGCCGAGGGACAGCACATTTACCTGTGAAACCACGTACAGCCTCCGTACATCCTCCCTAACAGTGGTTCACTGGGCACAGAGCACTCGCTCCTAGAGAAAACATTCATGATATTTTTAGTGTCCACATGAGAATTTGCAGGGCAAGTACAATTAACTTTTTTCTCCTCAGAACTCAGAGGAATTTATTTTTTTAGTGAATACAACATAATCTCTCACAGACTTGCAGAGATTCAGTTTTCAGAATTAACAGTAGACCCTCAAGTCAGAATCCCTGACAAAAGTCAAATCTGGATGAGGTAAGATTTAAAGAAAATTTCAGTCTTTTTTGCTGTAGGAAAATCCCCAAGTGAGGTTCCTTTTTAGTGAGTTCCAGCATTTTGTTCACTGATAGTGATCACTTAGATCAGCAGGGCAGTACTGGAGGGAAGTGCGTTGAGAGCTTCAGTCTTGACTGTTCTGAATTAGCTGGGCATTAAGTAAAGGGTAAGAGAATTCAAGAAAAGTACCCCTGTTGCAAATGACCATGAACACTGGCTAGGCATCACTGTTGGGAAGGGAGAGGAAGCTGTGATCGGTGTAGAGAGAACCTTGCCCTGCTAGTGATGCAAATTAGTTGGCCAGGTGAGGCCTGGAAGCCCCACCTCAGGCTGAAAGAGCCTGGACTCAGTTTCTAGAAAGAAGTCCCATGAGGAACTTGGGATAGAATGAGCTGGGAAGCAAGCTGAGAGGAATCGTGCTGGGCAGGAAGAAGTCCTTGGATGCTCTAGGGGTGGTAGGCAGCCTCGAATCCGATCACGAATAGGTTGGGGGGCCCTGGAAGAACAGGGGGAACGCACCACCATGACAAAGCAGGAGGCTTTAACCGTCCATTTAAAGGTTTTGGTAGAGGGTAGAGGCAATGCTCCCTTGCCCCTTTCTCCTCCTCCCTGTGGATCACAAGGCCCCAGAGGGGCTGTGCGAGCTTGAGGCCAAATATTTGCCTCCTGGAGACCCTGGGACCTCTGTTCACAGCTCCACAGCCAGCCTGAGGACTGTTTGGGTCCCCTCGACCAGGCTAGAGGGCCGAGGAAATCGGTAACAAAGGAGTGACCCCGAGCCTCTGACTGCTCACGTGTACTAAGAGGACTTGGACTGCCTGTTGCTTGGCTCACGAGCCCTGAAAGAGGGTGTGCACAACCGGCAGTTGTGGAAATCGGTGGTGCCCTCCCAGAGGGCTGATGGATGGAGGCTCGGGCTGGCGCTTCCCAGCCTCAGGTCACTCAGGTCCTCCTGCAACCAACATCTCTACCAGCAGGCCAGATTCTCAGAGAACGGCTGAGCAGGACCCCACTAACCTCAATGCCTCTGGCTTCACTTGATTTTATTTTGAGCAAGGGACCTCTGTGAGCAATTATTCTATGGCAGTCCCAAGGGATTTGAGCCAGAGCCACACTGCCTGGGTTCAAGTTCTACTCTGCCAATTCCTAGTTGGATAACTAGATAAATTGCTTGACCTTTGTAATTCAGCTCCTCGTCTGAAAATCTGGGAGACCAAGGCCTGCCTCTTAAAAGCAGTGAGAATTAAATACTTAGAACCGAGCATACATCAAGGTCCAGGGATGCCGGCCCCTGGGGTTGCCTCCAGGAGGAGGGTAGGAGCCCATAGGTTTCATGTGGAGAAGCCCAGGGTCCCTTGAACCGAAAGGGTGGGAGAGGACCCTGGAAGCTGCTGGTGAGACATGGAATGCCAAGGTTGTGACGTTTACACAGCAGGAGGGAACTGGGCAACCTGCTGGTTTGAATTAGGCCCCACCCTCCAGCAGCTGCAGCCTATTAGTGTGGTGCTCCGTGGGGGCAGAACACAGGAGCAACACCCCCAGCTCCACACCCAGAGCTCTATGCTCGCGACCCTGCAGGGCCCTGGTCAGCCCCTAGTGGGCAGCTGGAGCTGCCCTGTCATCCCATGGGCTTGATGCCGTATTGTCCCTCTGTTCTCTGGCACAGCCCACTGCTGTCCTGTCTCAGCTGCAGCAGCTACATGGCCTCATGCCCTCCTAGGGAGGCCGAGCCCTGCACATGCAGGCACCCCCACCCCCATGCCCCCGTCCACCGCTGAGCTGTTCTTCCCTGGTTCAGTGGGGGGGGGGGGGTGTAGTCCGGAGTCCCCAAGCAAGCCTGGGAACTGCCCTAGCACAGTTTGGGTCTCTTTCTCCTCCTTGCCATGGGAGAGAAACGGGGCTAGATGCTTAAGGAAGCGAGAACACCCTCGAGCTGGCCTCTCAAGGCGGGGGCATGGCTTTGCTGACCTTGCCAGCACCCAGCCCCAACTGTCCCAAGGATCACCCAGCTCTGCACCTATCTCTACAAACTCCTGGATTATAACTCCTGGGGCCTGGGATTCTCCTCCCTGATAACCAAGTCCTACCCCACCCCTCCAGAAAGCCTGCCGTGACCGAGCCTGAAGTGAAGCTCCCAGGGCAGGGCCCTCTCCAAAGGCAAGAGCCATTTTGCCATCCCTGTCAGGCCATTCCCGCCCAACAAGAACCTGGGCTTTACCGCATCAAACCGCCTCTAGCTCCCTGCAGATGCTGCCCTGTCTCCTCTCCTGGCCTTTGCAGGGGCCGTTCTCTCCGCCGGGCATACCCCTCTGCTCTAGTTAATGTTCACTTCCAGGCTTCAGCTCTGGGCGGCCCCGTCTGAGCCCCACCAGCCCTGGGGCTCCCCTAGTAGATGGACTATAGACCCCAGTATTCCCTCTCTTCCCATCTAAACCCAGCCCCTCCTTGGTTTGACTGCAGCAGCCAAGGCCAATCCCGAGGAGGCCAGCAGCCCTACCTTGGTTACTTAACGCTGGCCACACCCCCTCGCCAAGCCTTAGCTGGAAGCGGGCCCAGGGGTGTCCCGTGCAGTCCTCTCTGCCAGGCTCCTCCTAGCCCTCCGGGAAGGCCACTGTCTCCCAACTTCCCCTTTCCCCAGCTCCTGACACTGGTGCCTGGCTGCATGATTTGTCCTGCTCTGGGCCTCACTGTCCTCATCCAACGATCCTTCCCTTGCCACTTCCCAGGTCAGTGCCAGGACCCCCTGGGTCCGATGAAGTGGGCTGGAAGGGAGGAAGGGGCAGAGAGCAGCCCTGAGGTGACCAGCTGGTCAGGCATGCTGGCCACTCTGGCCTGGCCCCAGCCTGAGGCCTCTGGGAGCTGAACCAGCTGTCTGCGCACTTACCAGGGCCACAGAAGTATAGGATGTCTGCAGCAGCCGCCTCCGGGGGCACGTCCCCAGCTGTGCCCCCACCTCTCCTCCCATGCCTTTATCTACCAGGGTCTATCTCTCTACCCCACACGCCATCTAGCTATGTGTATCCCTCCCCTTCCCCTTGGCACTCTTCTGGTCACCCCCATCTTCTTTGCCCCTGAGATGTCTTCTCCCTGGCCTCTGGCTCAGGAGGCCCTTGCCATCTTACAGGACAGTGCATCAGATTTTATGGTGCTGCCTGCCTGGGATCTTCACCTCTGCTCCATTTCCTCCCCCTGACGCCCAGAACCAAGTCACTCTGAGCAGGCTGCAGAGTCCCTGCCCACTCATGAGGAAGATTGCATACCCGGGGGCTACTGCTCCAGCTGGGCAGGGGCTGCTGTGTAAGCACAGGGCACGTGTGTGTGGAGGGCCACGGGTGCTGCCAAGATAAGGGCCCTATCAGAGTGACCAAAAGTGGGGCAGCAGCCAGCCTGGGGTGGGGTGGGGGCCCAGAAGGGCATCTGAATGATGGCATGGGCCGCACGAGAGGCCCACAGAGGCCGCCTCTCCGCAGTGGTCCAGCCCCCACCTGGGCCCTGCCAGGCCAGCGCCCCGTGGTCCCCACCCTGCTGCCTGCCTGCTCAGCCTGGCAGCGTTCCTTTGCAGCCTCCTGCCAGCACAGCGAGCCCCCTGCCCCCACTGGTGTCCATGCCAGAGCAGCATTCCGCAGGCCTGGCTGCATCTCCCCAGCAGAGTCTGAGCGGGGAGGCTACTCAGCAGTGGCCAGGTCACACGGCTCAGGGGCACAGCGGGGCCTGGGCCTCTGGCCCCCCCTCCTTTCATCTTGCCTGTTCCCTGCCAGGGTCCTGGGCCGGCCACCTTAAAGGCCTGGTCACTGCGGCTGTGGTCCGGTCCCGCATCTCCTGCCCCTGTGGGCGTGGGCGGCCGGAGGAGGCCACCAGGTAGGGGTGGGGCCACCGGCACAGGGAGCCCGGGGCTGTCCTGGCACGGGGCGGGGCGGGGCGGGGCGGGGCGGGGGCGCCAGCCGGAGGTCCCAGACTCACCCTCAGGTCAGAGCAGCCCGGGCCAGAGGGTGGGGGGCGGCGAGCGAGGCTGGGGTACGAGGGCTCGGTCTCGGCGTGGGCTCCTCAGGGGAGCAGGTGGAAGCCGTTCGGCAGCCAGTGGGGGAGTGGGCGCGCCCAGCGTCCCGGCCTCGGGGCCGCCTCCGGCTCCGCCCCCGCCCCTGTGGCGCAGCTGGAAGGCACCGAGATTAGACTCTGGGACGGACTTCCCGGCGCACGGGGGCTCCGCGCGGGACTGTGGGGCCGGGCCCGCCCGCTGGGATGGGAGCAGGGGGGCTCGGCCGGGGGCCCCCGCGGCCCGCGGCGGAGCAGCCTGCGCAGGGGCCGCGCACGCCACGCGTGTCCGCGCCCCCCGCCGGCGCGCAGGGCGGCCTGGCCCTTTAAGCGTCCAGACGGCGGCCCCAGCTGACGCGCGGGCTCCAATCGGCGCCCCGCGCCCCGCGCCCCCCGCCCGCCGCGCCCGAGGCTCTGGGGCCGCAGCTGCTCGGCGGCCGGACTCGCCGCGGCCCTGCGCCTCCGCCCGCCCGGCCGCGCCCCCGGGGGCCATGGTCGCGGGGCCCTGCGCGGGGGCGGCCCCCAGCGCGGCGCTTCATGGAGCGGCCCCGGCCCGGCCGCCGGGGGCAGCGCGATCCCGCGGGGCCCTGTGAGCCCCCAGCGCCACGGCACCATGGTACGCAAGGCCCTGCCTGTCCCGCCGCTTATCCGCCCACCTGCCCGCTGTGCCCTCGGAGCGCGAGGCCCGCCGGCTCGGGGCGGAGGAGCTGGAGGCATCTCCTCCCTCGCTGGGTCTCCCCGGCCCCTTCTCGCGGGTCCCCGCGGCCGGGAACGCGGCGCTGTGGCGCGGCCCTCGGCGGGGAGGGGGTTAAATTCCTGGGGTGGGGGCCGGGCGCGAGAGGCTGGAGTCTCGCTAGGCACCCGCGGAGGGGGGCGCCTCCCCGAGCCTGGGACGGCGCCGCCCTCGGACTGGGTGATGGGGGGAGGGGGGAGGGGGGAGGTCGGATTCCCGCCTGGGCCTTGGGCCACGTGGGCGCCGGAGCCGCCCTGCCTGGGGATTTGGGGCGACGGGGCCAAGCGGGGTGCGTTGGGGCGGGACGTCCGCAGCTCCGGTCCAAACTACTGTGTGACCTTGGGCCAGTCCTCTGCCCTCTCTGGGCCTGTGTCCTGGGAAAGGAATGGGGCCATGAGCACAGAAGAGGCTGGCACAGACACCCCCCCTCCAAGAGGAGGAGCTGGAAGTCATGAACCTGTGCCCCCTTGCTCCCCCTTGCTCCGGTGGGCCCCACCCCCGGCTGCCCGGCAGTGAGGATTGGCGTGGGTGTTTGGGGGGGGTGCAGATCGTGCCCAGGTTTCAGCCCAGGGCCTCCAGGGAGGTATCTGGCAGTCTAGGGAGCCCGTGGCTTCATGGCACTGAGGGTGCCCCTGGGATGCAGAAGGCTCTGGCCCTGGTGAGCAATCTCAGCAGGTGTCCCTGGCACCTGACCTCCCACTCCCCCAAGCCCCACCCTGCAGTGTCGCTGGCAGGTAGAGTTTGAGGGCTTGAGGCTCCCGGCAACAGGGTGTCTGACCACTGGCCTGATGGTGTATCTTAGACAGGCTGACCTGGCTTGGACTTGAGGGTGGGGTGTGTGGCTGCAGCTGGCCCGGCCCATAGGGCGGGATATGTGCACTTCCAGGACCTGGCACATCTGGCTGGGCAGGGAGGCAGGCGCAGCTGGTGGGTTTTGCATGGGAGGTGCCAGGTAGGGGGAGGTGGTGGCTGAGCCCCGCTGGAGTATGGACTCTGGCAGCACGACTGTGCCCTGTCAAGGAAGTCCCGCCAGGGTGCCTGAGAGTCTGAGGCCCCTCCAGGGGGCAGGGTGGTGCTGGCTTGGGGCTTACTGCCCTGGGAATGGAGTCTTTGGGGGCACCAGTATCTTCCAGGCTAACCCCTATCCCTCCTTCCCTGCTGAGGCCAGAGGGACCAGATCTGCACACAGGAAGGTCAGGCACTCCCCTTTCTTTCCAAAGCCAGGTAGGCACTGGAGGGTACTGGGGCTCTGGGACCCAGGATGAGCTCCCCTCAACGGGCTTGGCTTTAAGAAGCCCTTATCTAAAGCCATTTCTGCCACTGTCTGGCCCCCCAGTGGCCCTTAGAGGCCCTGCCTGTCACAACCTAAGTTGCATCCTGAGCCCTCCCTGACCCGCAGGTGGCAGTAGCTCAGGGGAGGAGGTTGCTGGTTGCTTGAGGTAGTGGTGGGGTCCCGGGGAGCCCAGCCGGTCCCCTGAGTCAGAGGTTCCCCAGATGCCTCTTCCTGCTTTTTAAGTAACTGAAAGCCAAGAAATCCATCCCTATGGCATGGTGTCTAGTCCAGTCCATCAGGGAAAGGGTGGCCTTAGCAAAGCTGGAAGGCCAGGGGCTCTGCTTCTGCTCACAGAACCCATTCTGAGCCTTGGTTTCCCCATCTGGGCAATAGAGTTTGGTCCCAGAAGATGAATCAGAATGAGTCAGAGGAGGGAGATGGGAGGGACTTGGCACAATATCCTTGTTAGATTGGCCAGGCCTGGACAGGCCAGCAGCCCTGAGACAGAGGGGAAGATGGGTGGCTTCTTGGCTGCGGGGAAGGCAGTGTGGGAGAACTCAAGGAAGATGGTGTCCATGGTCAGGAGGCTGGCCAGACTGTGAGCTGAGAGAGCATAGGGTGGGTAGTACGCAGGGGTGGGGGTGCGGGGCAGGGCTGATCCGAAAGCAGGTTGCCCCTGTGGCTCCTCCAGGTTCATCCAGAGGCCCAGGGCTGATTCTCCTTGAGGCAACTGAGAAGGTGAACATAGATAACAGCCCCCAGCCCAGTCTGTGCCCACCCACTGCTCCCCCACCAATGGAAGGACTAGCACGGACAGTTGGGTTGGCTATGGATGGAAGGGACTGGGGTTTCATCCCATGGCTTGCAGGGAGGTGCTTGGGGGAGAGAGCTGATGGCATTGTGGCAGTGGGGCAAGGTATCTCTCAAATATAGGAGCCTCTGACCCAGCTAGACAGGGCCTGAGGATGGCCAGAGGCTGGGACCTGTGGGATTGGTCCAGGCAGGCAGGTGGTCGGTAGATATTAAGTGAACACCTGTGGCCCAGGCAAGGCAGTGGGCAGCCTGCCCCCCTGTGGGGTCCACCTTTTGGGAAAGCTGCTATGGAGAAGCCAGGCATGATTAAGCCAGCCCTTATTTCTCGACAAATCACGGGTTCTAGATGTGGCTCAAGGGCCTGATAATCTGACCCACCAGATTTTGAGGGCCTCTCTGAGGCTCCAAAGGCCCCAGGTAGCGTGGCTTCCAAGATGGGGCCATCTCAGAGCCTGTGGGCCTGGACCATACCTGTCCTGGGGTCTGAGGGCCTTCGAGAGAAGAGGGTCTAGGGCAGGCTTTCGGGGCCTCCCGTCTCTAAGCATGGTAGATGGGAAACTCAGCTCTGTCCTTCTACCCCCACAGAACCCCTGTATGAGGGGGAATTGCTGGCAGCCAGGCCTGAGGCCGTGAGCAGCAGCCTGGCCCAGTAAGAAGGGGCAGGCTAGATCCCATCAGCCTCCTCCAGCAGGGCAGTGGGACCAAGGCCTGGGCCTAGATTTCTTCACAAGAATTTCTACCCCTGCAAAGCCTTGGGCCCAGGCCTTGAGGCCCCCACTGCTGGTGAGGTGAGAGGTTTCCTAGGTACTACCCCTAGGGGTGCAGTAGCAGCCAGAGGCCAAGCAGTAAGCTGGTGAGCCTGACTTTCATGCTTGAGGGACCTGAGGTTGGGCAGGGTGGCTTCATTTGTATGTGTGAGTGAGTATGAGGCAGAAAACCCGTGGAGCTCAGGACGTGCTGAAGGAATGCTCGGGTCTGGGGGGACCGACCACCTCGCCCCAGTTTGCCTGGATTGGCCCTGGTTTTAGCACAGAAAGCCCCACATCCCAGGAAACCCGTAGGTTCCAGGCACTCCTGGATGTCGGTGACCCTAGTCCCCGTTCCTTCCTCTTTCCTTTCTTCCCCTTCCTTGCGCAGGATGACCTCCTGTTTCACGGGGAAGAGCTGCAGGCCCAGGAGGGTTAGCGACTCACCCAGGAGCCGACGGTCGCGACTGGAGTCTGAGCTCTAAGGGGCGGCTGGCTCGGGCTGGAGTCCTGGTTCCCCTGCGTCCTTGCCGGAGCTTCGGCTCCTTTACTAGAACGTGGAGCTAGGAGTGATGGGCAGGCTGCCTCCCGGAGGGTGGGCGCTGCCCAGGTCACTGGCCTTGACCTGACCTGTGCCCTCTGCCCCGCAGTTGCTGGTTGAGAAGACGACAGACTCACCGGCGGCCGAGTTCTCGCTGGTGGAGGACGTGGCGCTGCACTTCGCCTGCTTGATGGGCCGCCTGAACGAGCAGCGCCTCTTCCAGCCTGACCTCTGCGACGTGGACCTGGTGCTGGTGCCCCAGCGCAGCGTCTTCCCTGCACACAAGGGCGTGCTGGCCGCCTACAGCCAGTTCTTCCACTCGCTCTTCACCCAGAACAAGCAGCTGCAGCGCGTGGAGCTGTCCCTGGAGGCGCTGGCACCCGGCGGCCTGCAGCAGATCCTCAACTTCATCTACACCTCCAAGCTGCTGGTCAACGCGGCCAACGTCCACGAGGTGCTCAGTGCCGCCTCGCTGCTGCAGATGGCTGACATCGCCGCGTCCTGCCAGGAGCTGCTGGACGCCCGCTCCCTAGGCCCCCCGGGCCCCAGCGCTGTGGCCCTGGCCCAGCCGGCCACCGGCTGCACCCCAGCCGCACCACCCTACTACTGCGACATCAAGCAGGAGGCGGACGCCCCAGGCCTGCCTAAGATCTATGCCCGGGAGGGCCCTGACCCCTACTCTGTGCGTGTCGAGGACGGGGCAGGGACCGCGGGTGGCACAGTGCCTGCTGCCATCGGGCCGGCTCAGCCCTTCTTCAAGGAGGAGAAGGAGGGTGGCGTGGAGGAGGCGGGTGGGCCAGCGGGCAGCCTGTGCAAGCTGGAGGGTGGGGAGGGGCTGGAGGAGGAGCTAGGGGGCGCTGGTACGTACAGCCACCGGGAGCAGTCCCAGATCATCGTGGAGGTGAACCTCAACAACCAGACTCTGCACGTGTCCACGGGGCCCGAGGGGAAGCCGGGCACCACCACGGGCCCGGCCACCATGGTGCTGGGCCGGGAAGACGGGCTGCAGAGACGCTCAGAGGACGAGGAGGAGGAAGAAGAGGAGGACGAGGAGGAAGAGGAGGACGACGAGGAGGAGGAGGAGGGTGGTGGCAGTGGAGGGGAGGAGGAGGAAGAGGAAGAGGAGGAGGAGGGTGGCAGTCAGGGAGAGGAGGAAGACGAGGAGGAGGAAGCACACAGCGAGCAGGAGGAAGAGGAGGAGGAAGAGGAAGGGCACAGTGAGCAGGATCAAGAGAGCTCGGAGGAGGAGGATGAGGATGAGGAGGGGGAGGCAGCGAGCAGGCAGGGGCCGGCGGGGCGGCGGGGCGGCAGGGCAGAGCCCCCTGCCCACAGTCGTATGGCCACGCGGTCTCGAGAGAACGCCAGACGCCAAGGCCCCCCTGAGCCCGAGGAGGCCAGGCCTCGGGGCGGGAAGAGGCCCAAGCCGGCTCCGGGAGGAGCCTCTGCACCAGCCCGCGCGGGGCCACAGGCCGCTGACGGGCTGGGGGCCAAGGTGAAGCTGGAAGAGAAGCAGCACCACCCGTGCCAGAAGTGCCCTCGTGTCTTCAACAACCGCTGGTACCTGGAGAAGCACATGAACGTGACCCACAGCCGCATGCAGATCTGTGACCAGTGCGGCAAGCGCTTCCTGCTGGAGAGCGAGCTGCTGCTGCACCGGCAGACAGACTGCGAGCGCAACATCCAGGTGGGTGGGCCTCGGGGGCTCCTTGGGGTAGGCGGAAGGTCCATGGGATGGCCACCCAGGCCACGCACCCAGTGTCTTGCTGCCTGCATCACCCACACAGGCTAGGGAGGCCAGGCTTACCTGGGCCCTTGGGGCCAACCCGGGCCCAGGGTGGTGAGAGCCCAGGGGATAAGTCAGGGAGGGCTTCCCGCAGGAGGCAGGTAGACCTCGGCTTTGGCACATGGAGACACATACAGATCGGACAGGAACAAACAGTACCCTTGGCCAGAGGGGCCAAGGAGAGGATGAGAAGAGGGAGTTGTCTGTGTACTGGTGGCTGGTGGGTAGCCAGTTCTGAGGAGGGGGGAGCCCATGTTTTTAGGAAATCCTAGAGCTGCTGAAAGCCAGCGGGGCCACCATGTATAGTTTCACGGATCGTGCACTGCACAAAAGCACAGATGAGGTAAGGTAGGGTTTGCCCAGAGGGGGCACCATTTCCACTTTGCTACAAAGTCTGGATAGAGCAAGGGGTGGCCCCGCAGGAGGAAGCCCCTGCTGTCAGCTCTTTGGAGATGCCAGCTGGCCTGAGCCTGGGAAGAGGGATTGGATGAGAAATTTGGGAAGAGCAGGGGCTGCCGAGGCCAAGCAGGGGAGCTGGGCTGCCTGCCAGACCTTGGGTCAGCCGGAGTGTGTGCCAGCCTGGCCTCTCAGGGTTTGGGTAGCACAGGGCCCGCCAGGCTGCTTTTTATCTCTCTGGCCGGGAGGAAGTTGTAGGAGCAGCAGGTAGGCGGGTACTAATTGCCTGAGCTAATTGCTAATTCCTGTGCCCTGTGGAGAAAGTGTTACCTGGGGGTTACCTGGTCTCCTGCCCCACCCTCCTGCACCTGTTCCCACTTGCATGCCCGCTGGGTTGCCCTTTGCCTCTCCACCTGCACACACCTGAATCTTCCTCTTGAGGGAGAAAGATGCATGTGCTTCTTCTGACCTGGACACGCTGACCCATTTCTGCTCATGCCCTGACCTACTCCAGCCCTCTAGAAGTGTGTCCTTCAGGAATCAGTAGGACAAGAGCAGGAGGGGAGCACAGCCCCCAGGGTTCCCACCACCTTCCATTTCCTCATGAGACACGAGACCTCCTGCAGTTCCTGCCATCCCCAAAGCTGGCCCTTTGGCACCTCTCTCCTTGGGTCCCAGAAGGGGGGAGGCAGCAGAGATGGTGTGCCACCCTGGTGGGCCTGTTATCTTAGGAGGGCTTCTCCACGCACAGCGTGTGTGGCCTCCTCACATGTCATGGCCCTTCAGCCAGTTATGTGTCTCCCCTCTATAGACAGGTACCTTGTTGAGATGAGCACAGAGTAGTAGGGGCTTCCTTGTATAGGTGGCCCCTGACCCAAGCTAAGGTCAAGGATGGGGGGGGGGGCGCCCAGGCTGCAGCCTTGGGTAGGTTTCCAGGGAGTTACCCAGAACGTTTCCCAACTCCCAGAACGTCAGATTTGGCAGGTCACTGGACATTGAGGGCTCTTCCTCCAGCACAATTCAGGTGGAGAAACTGAGGTCCACAGAGGGGGCAGATTGTTCCAGGTCATATGGTCCGGACTCAGGACCCGGGACCTGTCATCCTCTCACCCTGCAGTGTGTGACATGCGGCAAAGCTTTTAAGAAGCTCTGGTCCCTCCATGAGCACAACAAGATTGTGCATGGCTATGCTGAGAAGAAGTTCTCATGTGAGATCTGTGAGAAGAAGTTCTACACCATGGCCCATGTGCGCAAGCACATGGTTGGTGAGTCTGGGCCGGGAGAGGATGGGGCCTGAGGTCAGAGCTGGGCCAGCTGTTGCTTGTGCTGGGAAGGACTTCCATCCCAGGGTATTGGGAAGGTGTGAGAAGGCCCCTCTCAATTGGGAAGCCTGGGGAGGCTGGTTGTAGTGGCAGGTGTGACCTGGATAGACTCAGAGGTCGGGGCTACTGTGTACAGTTGGACAAGTTGCACATTGCACAAGGGCTCCTGGACAAGATGGCGGACAAGTGTGCCAGAATCCAGGTGGCACACTGCTAACCAGACTGTGCATCTCAGTATGGGGTTGTGGCCACCCTCCATTACACAAAGTGCCATATGGGCTGACACAGGCCCTGTCTCAGTTTAAGGACAGCTGTGCATCTAAATTTTTCCTCACCTACCAGCCTTTTTCTTTAAAGATTTTACTTATTTATTCATAGAGACACAGAGAGAGAATGAGAGGCAGAGACACAGGCAGAGGGAGAAGCAGGCTCCATCCAGAGAGCCCGATGTGGGACTCCATCTAGGGTCTCCAGGATCACGCCCTGGGCTGCAGGCGGCGCTAAACCGCTGCGCCACCAGGGCTGCCCTCACCTTCCAGCCTTTACAGGGCTTCAGGCTTCTCTGAATCAAACACGGTAATGAGGAAGGCCCCGCAAATGCATGCTGGGCTACTCCTCTGCCTTGGGCATGGCTGTCCCTCCCCTCTAAGAGAGCCTGACAGGGAGCCTGGGGTTCAGGTGGCCCTCCTTTCTTTGCCTGCTCGGGGCTCAAGGGCCCCAAGGGAGGCAAAGAAAGGGAGGTGTGGCTCCTGGCCAGGCCTAACCCCCTTTCTGCAGCCACCTGGATGGAGGTCCCAGCTGGGAGCATGTTGAGTAGCCCAGGACTAGTGGTCTTCCTGGGCTTGGGTTCCCCAGCTCCGAGCTGTAAGGAGATGACCTCTCTGGCTCCAGTTGCTTCCTCCTAGATCTTCCTTGAAGAGTTTGTTAGTCCTCACCTGTCTGTGGTTTTGAGGGGAGCACAGTTAACTCCCTCTGGACTGTTCAGTGTCATCCCGTGAAAAGCCCACCTTTGAGGCCTAAGACTACTCCTAGCCTCTCTGTAGAAGGGTGCACTGGGGCACGCAGAGGCTGTGCAGGGAGTCAGCGGTGGGGCCAGGGTTTGAGCTGAAGTCAATCCTGCTTGAGGTCCTTTGCTCTCTCCTGGAAGCTTTGGGAGTGAGGCAGCCTTTGCCAGAGGCTGAAGAACACGAGGGCCTCCATGCTAGTCTGACCAGACTTGAGAGCAGATGCACAGACCTAGCCCAGAGGGAAGGCGCTTGGCCTGCAAGTCAGCCCCAGGTCCCAGCCTGAGGCTCTGAGGCAGACCCTGGAATAGGGGGGCATCCCAGGAGGCCCCGTATGGGAGGCAGCCAGGCAGGGACCCCCGAGAGGAGCCATGGGGGTTACCTTGAGACATAACGGCCTGCCCTGCAGCCCACACCAAGGACATGCCCTTCACCTGTGAGACCTGTGGGAAGTCCTTCAAACGAAGCATGTCTCTCAAAGTGCACTCGCTGCAGCACTCTGGGGAGAAACCCTTCAGATGCGAGGTGAGTCCCTTTCTGCCCCTGCCCCAGGGGCCACCCCGGATGGGCAGGGATCAGTTGCAGCCGCTGCTTAAAAGCCAGGGAGCTGGGGGCAGTGGAGTCTGCCCACCGCCCCACCCGCCCGGCACATTCAGGGCGAGCGGTCGGTCTCCTTGGGCCCAAACCACGCCTGGGACGCCTGGGACGGGCCTTCTGGGGAGGTGGACGGAGGAACCTCTGAGGCAGAGCGAGACGGCTGCGGGCGGGGATGAGGAGGGCGCCCGACGAGGCGCAAGGATTTGGGGGGCCCTCGGCGCTAAGCCTGAGGACTCCATTCTGTGGCTTTTCCCCACTCCCGGACTTCACCCTCTCCTGGGCCCTGCCTGCCAGCGGCCGCCCCAGGCCCGTCCCCCAGGGTGTCCTCCCCGCCCCCGCCCGCGCTGGGCCTCACCCCCACCCCACCCCCAGAACTGCAACGAGCGCTTCCAGTACAAGTACCAGCTGCGGTCGCACATGAGCATCCACATTGGCCACAAGCAGTTCATGTGCCAGTGGTGCGGCAAGGACTTCAACATGAAGCAGTACTTCGACGAGCACATGAAGACGCACACAGGTACCCCCCCGGGCCCCCCTCGGCCCTGCCCCCGCTGCCTTCTGGACTGCCGGGCCGGGCGAACGGGGTGCCCGCCGCTGGGGCGCCCCCTCAGTGACGCCCCGCTTTGCCGGCGCCTAGGGGAGAAGCCGTACATCTGCGAGATCTGCGGCAAGAGCTTCACCAGCCGCCCCAACATGAAGCGGCACCGGCGCACGCACACCGGCGAGAAGCCCTACCCCTGCGACGTGTGCGGCCAGCGCTTCCGCTTCTCCAACATGCTCAAGGCGCACAAGGAGAAGTGCTTCCGCGTCAGTCACCCGCTGGCCGCCGACGGCCCCCCTTCCTCGGGCCCAGGCCTGCCCCCCGCCCAGCCCGCGGCAGCGGCAGCGCACGCACTGCCCCTGCTCCCGGGGCTGCCCCAGACGCTGCCGCCCCCGCCCCACCTGCCGCCCCCCCCGCCCCTCTTCTCCACCACTGCCGCTTCGGGCGGCAGGATGAGCGCCAACAACTGACTGCCCCCTGCACGTGCCAGGTGGGGGTGGGTGGCCCGGAGCCCAGGGCCGCCTGGGGGGGGGGACCCCTCCCGCCCTCCCCTCCTTCCTGTGGGAGGACGGCCGACACCGGGCCGGCCGGGCCCACCTCTGGACGCGGCTGGGCGCGTGCCGCCTGAGGCCCCTGACCGTGTGGTGTGCGGGCTGGGGGCCCAGTGCAGGTGGAGGACACCTCACTCCCAAGTGCCCCCCTTTGCAGTGACTCCTTGAAGCCTTTATTTTATTTTATTTTATTATTATTTTTTTGGGGAAGTGAAGGAAAAAGAAAAGAGAGGAAACTATTTGCAGCACCCCCTCCAGGTGAGGCGGGTACTGGAGGCAGCAGGTACAGCAGGAAGGGAGGGGCTGGGGAGCAGGTGTGACCGGTCACTCTGCTGAGGCCTGACCCCTAGGGGGTTGGCCAGGCAGGCTTCGGTCAGTTTCAGTGGCTCATCTCTGCCTCCCCCGTGCCCCCCAACTTGCCCCCTCATCCTGGAGGGCTTGGGGGAAAGTTGGGGTGCCAGCCTCCCGGGAAGAAGCCGTGGATCTGAGGGCTGTGGACACCAGGGCAGGGGCTTGAGTGTGGACTCCCATGAGCATGTGGTGGAGGGAGTAGGGTGAAGTGTGAAGGCTGCAGACCCAGCTTTGCACCGTGTGCGGTGGGGGAGACCGGGGCTGGACCCCAGGCATTTGCTCACCCACCCACCCCCCTGCCAGCAAGCGCAGGGATCCCTGAGCCGTACCAGGCTGCACCGAGGTCCCCAAGTCCAGGAGAGGACATCCCCAGAAGCCACTGGGCCTCAGGGGGCTGGGAGCTAGGCCCTGGGTGGGCAGACGGGCTGGCTCCCACAGCACCAGATCCCAAGGGCTGCAGTCCAAGAGTCCCTGCAAATGGGAGAACCCCAAGGGCAGGTCCTGAGAAGGAGGCACTGTTTGAAGGTTTCAAGGTGCTATCAGTGGGGCAGGGGGCGGGGCTGCTGTTCACAGAGCCCCCGGGTCCTCACCAGCTGCCCTGGTCGTCTCTCCGCAGCAGAGGAGATGTGTGTGTGTCTGTACCCATCCCTGCTCAGAAGGCAGAGGCCTCCTCCTCTTCCTAGGCCTGGCCACAACCCACTCCAGGCTGGTGTCCAGCACCCCTGTCCTTCCTGGGCCTCTGCACTGTGGCTGGGTACCTGTAGCACTGTCACTGAGGAGCCCACACATTCAGGCCCCCAGGGTGGGGGGGGTGGGGATTCTGGGGGAGCCCCAGCTTGTGCCCCATGCTTGCCCCCATGAGGCTGGCACTAATAGGACACCCTTTTTTTGTTGTCATTTAACGTCTTTATTTCCTGCCTTTAAAAAGGGGAGGAAGGTTCCATAAGCTACGTGTTTCCTAGTTAAGCTCTTTCCTTTTGTGTTTATACAGTTTTGTTTGTTATACTCTGCACCTTAAACCCCCATGACTACCCCCACACCACCACCTTCCCAAGCATGGCTGGAGTGGGAAGAGGCCTAAGCCCAAGGGAGGGGACAGCAACAGGGGGCAGGGGGGGACGGTGGGGGACTGGGCCCCCTCAGCTCAAGGGCTGAGGGGGTTGGAACCCCTCTGACCTCCTTGTGAGGCCCGTGGCGCTGGCTGGGGGCTGGGGACATTTTAATCATCAATAAACGAAGCACTTTATTCTGTACAGATGTGGGCAGGTCCGAGAAGCCCAAGTGATTTGAGGATTTATAATCCAAGCTACACAGCCCTGACTGTTCTCTGGGCACAGAGGGGGCAGTGCCCTGGCCTAGTTGTGTTTGGGGCTACAGCATCGTAGGGCTAGGGCGGTGAGCCAAAGCCTACAGACGTACCCTCAGAACGGTCCTGCCGTCCTCTGGAGAGAGAAGGTGGGCCCTTCCCTCAGAATGGAAGGCTCCCTGTCTGGCCTGGCCGCAGTTCTGCAGCTCCCCGACCCCAATGCTGAGGCTTCCAGGCTCCTGCTTTACCGTAGCTCCCTCTCCCCCTCGCCCTTTGATCTCTGGGCTTCCATGACGTCCTCAGGGTCCCCCCCACTCTCTTTCCTCCTCTTCCTTGCTACTTCTAGCCTCTGGTCCCAGTGCCTGGCAGCTCTTCAGAGCTGGCTCACATTTGCCCCCCTAAAAGTTGATCTCCCCCAGTGCGCTGTAGGTCGGGACCCCCATGGGTTCCCCAACCCCTGTCACTGACACCAGGGTCTCCCATAGGCACCAGTGGCCTTGTCACCAGCTAGCCCCATTGCAGCCTTACTCAGTGAGCCTGGGCGGCCCTGGCCAGGCCAGGTGCCTGTGAGGCCACACTTTAATAAGCAGAGGCTGGAGATGAGTATTGGGGCGGGGTATCAAAACTCTGTCCCAGGCCTTGGGTTCCCTGTTCTAATACACCTCTCCTCTGAGCACACGGGTCCGGACGGTGGGCTGGGCTCTGGTCAAAAGGGTCATTGTAGCTGTGGGTGGGCACGGCCAAACCCTCTCCTGGGAGGCACCTGTCCCACCTGTCCCCACCTGTCCCTGGGAGGCAGGAGCCCTGGTCCCTGGTGCTAAATGCTCTCCTCCCCTTGGGCCAGTGTGGGCAGGAGCTCCTTTCCAGCCAGATCACAAGGGTCTGAAGCAATAATGGAACCTCAGTAGTGCCAGTATGGGTCGGGGTTCTTGTTTTACCAGCTTTTACATTTCCTTTTGTTTCTAAAACAAGTGAACAAGCACCTAGATATTGGATGAAGGGGACTGGGGTGTCTGTCACCCACTTCCCAGGGCTGGTGGCAGGGAACTGGTGTCAGGATCATCACCTCCCACTGCAGAGGGGCTGGGGGGCCAGGGTTCAGTCCAGATGAACTTCTCAGCCCGTTTGCCCAGAATTCGGGTCTGAAACCTAGGCCTGCCCCCTCATCAGCTCCCCCGGGTGCCCTGATCCTGGGCCAGCTGGGGATGAGCAGAGAGATGAGGTGGGGCCACGGGCCAGGCCAGAGCCTTGGCCTCTGACCTTGGCGTGTGCTGCCACAGCTCCCCTCCCTGGGGGCTCAGCGGTGGTGGAATGGCTGTGCTGGACGTGTGGACCTTTGATGTCTGGGCCCCAAGTGCATGAGGGGGGGACGATAGCAGGAGGGTGAGGACACGAGTGAAGGGGAATAAAATCCGTACAACTGTCCCTTGGCCCAGCCTCTTCTTTACATGTTGCCTGCCCCGCCTGCTGGCTGGAAAGACCTGGACCGGAGCGAGGGAGCCGAGCAGCTCAGCGGCAGGCTGCATGGGTCCCTGTGCCCTGGAGCCGCTCCAGACCCCGTCTCCCACTTAGGGCGGGCTGGGCTTGAGGAACACGCGGAGGCAGGAACTGAGGCAGGAGCAGAGATGTTTGTCCTGAGCGGGATGCAGAAGGGAATTGAAAGAGGAGAGGTCCTGGGGTGCTGATGCTGAGATCCCCAGAGGCAGTGCCCACAGGAGGCCAGGGCCCCCACAGGATGGTTTTCCACGAGCACCGGGCGTGCTGCCACGGGAGCCCCAGGGCAGCAGGGGCCACTCCCACTCGTGTGCTCAGCGCTTGGCAGGCAAAGGGCGGTTTGAAGGAGCCAGCAGCCATCAGAGATGCTGACGTGGGCGCCAGGAAGACAAAAGCTCCCATGGAAGGCAGCTAGTGCCCTCCAAGGAGGCAGCAGACGGCTTTCCATGGGGACCTCCGATGAATTAATTCATTGCACAGGTAATATACGGAGCCGCGGCTCCGGGCCACATGGTGAACGAAGCCCCTCTGTTTTTGGCACTTTGGCCCAAGATACGTGAGGAGGGGTCTGAGCAGGAGGGCGGGGTGGCTTCATGAGCCAGAGAGGAGGTGCAGGTGCTGCGCTCTGCGAGGCCACGCTGACAAGTGGAGGCTGGAGATGGGAGTGGGGGAGCTGGTCCTGTTCCAGGACTAGGGCTTCCTCTTCTTGCACGCACGCCCTCTGAGGGCAGGGGTCCAAACAGCAGGTCTCAGAATTGGGGAGCCCGCACCTTCCCACACAGCCCACCTTCTTGAACGGAAAGGAACAGGCTCACCCAGATCACCCCGAAAACGAGGCTTGCTGATGAGCCCAAGGACTGGGCTGCTCCCCTAGACTCTTGGTGTTCTGCTCTGCGTTTCTGCTCTCCAGCCGTCCTGCTACCCATCTGTTTGCATGATGCCTCTCTGCGCAGCCTCTCCCTTCAGTACCCAACCCCCCATTCTAATAATGTCCCCAACTTCATACTCCAGCGCTGCTTAGGCACGAGTCACGCTGAGCTGGGAGGAGGAGACCACTGGGTGGTGGTGGCATCTCTGTAGCACTTATTCTCTATTGGTTTTGCTCTTTGGGACCAAACAGCTCATTAACAACCCATGTCCTGGAGGGTGGGTCCTATATTTATACCCCAGTTGTAACGGAGGCTGGGAAGGCAAGCATGTCTTCTACTTCAGGCAGGTAGCACTCACCAATGGGGAAAGGCTGTCCAGAGGCCCTGGGTGGCCACAAAAGGTCCCTCTCCCATCCCGAGTCCTGGTTCTGGGACCCAAGCATCCTGAGAGAGACTGGCACATGCATTCCTCTGGAGTTTGTACTGCATCCCCTAGGAAGCTCCCGGCCTGGCAAGGTGAAGTCTGGGGGCTTGTTCCCTAACGGATTCTTCCCTGGACAACGCCACCCTTTCATAACATCAGCTGCTCCTGGGCGCTGGGCAAGACTAGTGCATGCTGTGAGTACAGCCTGGTGCCACACAGCACTGTTTTGTGTGGAATCCCTGGGGAAATATCTATTTTTTACAATTAAATTTTTTCTTAGACATAGTTGAAAGAGCCAGATATTTCTGGGAAGCCTTTTTTTAAAAAACAAAACAAAACAAAACAAAAGTTGCAGCTGCCTGTACTTCTTCTTTTCCCCACTCCCAATAGGCAACCAGTTCCAATTTGATTGGTATTTTTGGTGGTTTACTTTTCAATCACACCTCCACTCCTACTTCCTGATTGATTCAGTGTTAGGTATCATTCATTGCTTTCTTTCTTCAACACTCCACACGCGCGCGCACACACACACACACACACACACACACACACACACACAGCTTCTCTTCCCCTTTCTTCAAGGATAGTTATGTTATTACTTGGGGTTAGATTAACATTCAGTGTATATATTATTATGACTATGTAAACACTGATCTCAACGAAGCCATGTCATAGAATATGATTCCATTTCCTTTCCTGTACAATGTCTTACTTTTGTCTCTTTTTAAAATGTGGTTACATCGGCGTCTGGGTATTTATCACTTCTGTGTCCCTTATCTCTGCCATAACTGTAACTCTCCTTCTTGTATGTGTGCACACAGCAGGTGTCCTATCAGCTCCCTCTTGGCAGTGTCCCTCCAGAACCCTCACTCGGCTCTGGACTGGTTGGTTCCCCCCCACAGCCATGGTGGGATCACCCATTCTTCTGAGGATCCCCGTTGCCAATTCCTAGGCGGATCTCCCATTTCCCCCAAACCTCTCTCTTCTTCTATCTGGGTAAGCTCCTGCAACTTGGTGAAGCCCATCCTCCAGGGGCTTCCTGAGGTGGGGCTTATGGGCACACGGGAAGCCATGGCCAGACCCGATGTGATTGGTCCCCCCCTAGTAATGCAGGAGGCAGCAGAGCTAGAGACCATCAGAACCTGGCTTCGTTGTCACCCTAGCTCGGGAGCAGTGCAGCAGGATGGCCCTGGTGTGCCCAAAAGTGAAGCCATCTCCCGTAAGGACACTTACCGCTTAGCAGCATCCCCAGACCTACGTTCCCTATCACACACTCTGCTGAGACTGTGTCCCTTATAGTTTACTGCAGAAAACTAACTAGAAGATTCATGTCTTAGTGAGCTACTTTTTTCCCTAACCCTACAATGTAGCTTCTCTTCGGGACCACTTCAGGGCACGAAATCCTGAAGATCTTGACTATTTTTATTCTACCCTCACATGGGATGAGTTTGCCTGGGTTCAGAACTCTAAGTTGGAAATCATTTTCCCTCAGGATTTTTTTTCTTTATTTTTTTTTAAGATTTTATTCACTCATTCATGAGACACAAACACACACACACAGAGAGAGAGAGAGAGAGAGGCAGAGACATAGGCAGAGGGAGAAGCAGGCTCCATGCAGGGAGCCCGATGTGGGACTCGATCCAGGATCCCTAGGATCACGCCCTGGGCTGAAGGCGGTGCTAAACCGCTGAACCACCTGGGCTGCCTGAGACTTTTTTTTAAATGCGATTTTCCTTAAATGTTGGGTGATCTTTGATCATTTTCTTCATTGGAGTTTTTATTGCGATAATTACAGATTTATATGCAGCTGGTTGAGCATCTGCCTTCAGCTCAGGGCGTGATCCCAAGGTCCTGGGATCAAGTCCACATCAGGCTCCCCAAGGGGAATCTGCTTCTGTCTCTGCCTTTCTCTCTGTGACTCTCATGAATAAATAAATAAAATCTTTTTTAAAAAAAGAAGACAGAAAACTTCCTGTACATTGTACCTAGTTTCCCCCAGTGGTAACATTTTGCAAAACTAGTACAATACCACAACCAGGACATTGACACTCCACTGATCTTATCCAGATTTCCCCAATCTTACTTGTCCTCACTTGTGTGTGTATTCACTTCTATAGAATTTTATCACATGTGTACGTTCACATATCTACCACAACAAAGGAGACAGAACATTCCATCACTATACACAACCCCCTCCTGTGACCGCCTACTCTGTCCCTCAGCACTGGCAACCAACGATCTGTTCTCCGTTTGAAAATTTTTGTCATTTCAAAATGTTATATTAATGTATATGGTATGCAATCTTTTGGGATTGACTTTTTTTCATTCAGCCTAATTGCCTGGAGACTGACGCAACTGACCCAAAAGTGTTGCTGAGTACTAGTCCATAGTTCGCGCGTACTATGTTTATCCAGTGAAGGAGAACAGGGCTGTTTCTCATTTTTTGCCATTACTAATATGGTTGCTATGAATATTCCTGTATAGATTTTGGATAAACCTAAGTTTTACTTTCTCGGGGATAAATGCCCAAGAGGACAATTGCTGGGTTATGTAAATAGTGGCATGTTTAGTTTTATAAGAGACTGCCAAAGTGTTTTCTATGAGGCTGTACCACTTTGCAGCCCCACTGGCCATGTATGAGGGATATAGTTTCTCTTCTTCTTTACCAGCATTTGGGTGTTGTCACGATTTTTTATTTTAGCTGCTCTGACAGATGTGCGGTGATATTGTGGTTTTAATTTGGATTTCCCTGATGAGTAATGATATCAGACATCTTTTCAGGAGATGATTTGCCATCTGTACATCATCTTTGATGAAATATCAGTTCAAATCTTTTACCTGTTTTCCCGTTGGATTGCTGTTTTTTTTTATTTATTTATTGTTGAGTGTTGAGATTTCCTTGTGTGTCTAGATATTGCAAATATTTTCTCTCAGTCTGCAGTGTGTCTTTCCATCCTCTTCACATGGGCTTTTGCAGATCGTAAGTTATGTATTTTGATGAGATCTAATTTATCAAATTCTCCTTTTATAGATCATGCTTTTGGTGTTGGGTCTAAAGAACTCTTTCCCTAGCCAAATGCCAAAGCTACTCTCCTGTTGTTGTTTTTTCTCTAAGACTTTTATAGGTTTTTTTTCACATTTTTATTTTTAATTTATTTTTTATTTTTTAAAGATTTTATTTATTTATTCATGAGAGACACACAGAGAGAGGCAGAGACATACGCAGAGGGAGTAGCAGGCTCCCTGTGAGGAGCCTGATGTGGAACTCAATCCCAGGACCCCAGGATCATGACCTGAGCCAAAGACAGACGCTCATCCACTGAAACACCCAGATGCCCCTTTTTTCACATTTTTTAAAAAAAGATGCTTGCTTACTTTATTCTTTAAGAGCCAACTCCAGTAATGGGACTGACAAGACTCTGTGTATGTTTGTGTTTTAAATTGTGGTAAAATACACATAACATAAAAGTCACCATCTTAACCATTTTTAAGTGTACAGTCAGTGGCATTAAGTACATTCACATTGCTGTATAACCATCACCACCATCCATCCGTGGGACTCTTTACATCCCATAAAACTAAAAGTCTGTACCCATTAAATACTAACCCCTATGCCTCCATGGCCATCCCCAAGCCCT